CAAATTAAATAGTGGATCGCTCTTTCTACAGGAAAACGATCCTACATCTCTAAATGGATATTCTAAAACGCAACCGGCTGAAAATACCTCTTTATAAGCCCCATTAAATTTGTCCATTTATTAAAGGGTACGGAAATTTTTACCAAGTATTTTAAAGACTCTTCAAGTTTTTAAAAGTGTTTTGGCGGGAAAAATTGCGGGATCACTTTTCCGGCCAAAAAATATTTTGTATTTTGTGGACCTAATTTTATTATATTTCCTTATATATTTGTGATATCTTTTATTAAAAGAAGAGTAATTTAGTCATTTTGTACATAAAAAGGGTATTTTAAAAAATGGACAGCCAAAATGGGCATTTTTGAAAAGGATATTGAAAAAGGTGCATTTTTGTGAATCTCCCTATATAATTTGCATAGAAACTTGAAAACGACTTATATTTTGAAACAAAAAAAGTTTTTCCAAAACTCTGTATAAGAAAGACATGTTATAAATGCTGACTTTTTGAGTTCATAAATTTTCAAGGCTCAATCGAGCGGAATACAGGTACAGAGAGGACAATCAATTTTGGGTAAGCCATGTTGGGAACATCAAATTGTCTTGGAAAATAAATTCAAATATTAAAAGGTTAATGTCTTTTTCTATGTAAGATCATCATCATCCATTTTTTTTCTTTTTCTTCTGAGTGCAATAATGAAATAATTGCAATAGAAATGAATCATTCATGTTACTTCTCTATTTTTATATCGCAAAGAAATCCCATCGAATTTTAGATACAAAACAGACAAACATTAATAAAACAGACAAACATTAAATAAAGATATAGCCTTATTGGTGCATGCATTTGCGTGCTTGCAATGATAATGTATTCAAAATTGCCCCGGTCAATTGTAAATTTGTAATGAAGACTTGTATGATATAATACTCTTTCCGTTTCGTTTTAGTTGTCGTTTAAGGTTTTTTCACACAAATTAAGAAAATCATTAAATTTTCTGTTTTACCCTTTATTAATATATTTTATAAAAAAATTTATTGGCCGAAACATTAAAATAGTAGAGATAAAACTAGAATTTTCACCAAACATTTGCATCGAAATCCTAAAACGACAACTATTATGAAACAAAAATTTAACTCTAAAACGACAAGTAAAACGAAACGGAGAGAGTATTATTGTAGATATCTATGCTTATTTATTTATGTTAGCATGTTTAAAGAATGATAAACCTACAAAGTACAAACTCTTGGTAAGAAAGAAAATTATTAAGTTCGAAAAGAAGAAGAAGAAGCTGGTAGCTGAATGCATAAAACAATTAAGTTTAGGCCGCCAGTGACTTTAGTCTTCATTAAAAGTGTGAATACTTAGGTTATGTCACGCATGACTCATGGAGTGAAAAAACAAATACGGGAAACCTGCTACTAACTTCTTTCTTTCTTTTTTTTTTTTGTTTGCCAAAAATACAAAATTAAATCTGAATGGTGAGATAACAACCTAACCTTGGTTCAATAAATCAAGAATAGATCAAGGTAGTGCCGTTTGATTAATTGCCGTGGCCATTAAATAATACCCTCTTTTGATTTGAATAAGAAATAAAACACGTTAATGAACTTGATATTTATAATTATATTTTTAAAAAACATGAAACTTATATATATTATTACATATTCGTTGACAACACAAAATTTGGATATAAAAGTACAAAAGAGACAGATTGGCGTTGGACGAGGGAAGGAGCTGTGGGAGGCTCATGTGGGCTTCTTCTGTTCGCCATATAACTAATTTCGATTTTTTATTTTTTTTTTTTTTTTTTTTTTTTTTTTTTTTTTTTTTAACATATTAATTTTTACCCAAATAGGCTTAAACGATGATGGGCTTACACGGCCAATCGGCCCACAAAAAGGAGAAGAATAAGTCAACACGACCTAGATCGGAGATCTGAAAAAGGGTGGAATCCGGCAGCACCAGCACCACCTCCAAGCTCCGGCGATAACAAGAGGCCCTTCGTTGTTGCTCCAACCCGACACGAGCGACATGACAGGAGTTATCGATTTTCGTGTATACGTATGCAAATTTGTCACCTATAAAGTCATACAGTGAATCCTACAAAATTAAAAGTGTTCAGATAATTTGGTTGAGTATGTAATGGAACATTTGAGGGAACTTGGATTCTATGAAAATTGTTTAGTGGTTTTCAAAAACTATTTCAAGTTCTCCATTTTTCAGTTATACTGTATGTTATAGAATTTTCACCCTTCTTTTTAAACATGTTACAACACCGAATCTAACATCTTTCTAGTAACTAAACGTATCAATTTAATTACGAGTTTTGATTCTAGTATTAACTTTAATTGGTAATCATTAATTTTTTTTACTTGAGGAAAAAACATGTAAATACGCTAAAACAATTATTTACGTGAAAATTGTTCGGTAAATAAATTTCAAGAATTCTTTATGAACCTCCCATATATCGATTAACCGCCAAAATCCCACCAAAAGCAATTTTATTTTACCTCCAATACCATAATCATTATCCGCCACATTTTTTTAATTACATTATTTAAGCCCTATAATAATACCAATTATGTATTCCAAAAAAAAACCATTTAAATACAAAGCTCTCTCTCTACCGATTTCTTCCAATCCAAAATAGATTTTTTTGTTTGCATTCTACATAATAACATCATCAACACAACAAAGGTTTCGTCTTGTCACTTTATATTATTAGCCTACTCGTGTTTCTCTTGATTTGTTTTTTATTGACGACTTGAGGGAATACGTTGATTTTGTAGATTTTTATCCACTAATGGAAGATAATAAGCAGCGAAGCAGATTCAGAAAAATTTGTGTCTTTTGCGGAAGCCACTCTGGTCACCGAGAAGTTTTCAGTGATGCTGCCATCGAACTCGGCAATGAACTCGTTTGCTCTCTATCTTTCTCTTCTTTTGGTTTTGTGATAAAAATATGAACTTTTCGTCAAATCAATACAGATATCAACTTTTTTGCTCGGTTTTTGAATGTCAAAATACCAACTTTATAGTTTACTTGTTCATTTCACACAATGGGTTTTGAGGATTCTATTTGTGCTTGCGTCTATTGTAAGCTTTTGTGGTTTTGGCCTTATTTGTTGACTCTTTAAATCTGGGGATGTTGTTATTTGAAAAACTGTGAAATTTCTTGAAGTGTTGTGTGATTGGATTTTGTGATTTTTGGAAATTTTAGGTGAAGAGGAAGATAGACTTGGTTTATGGAGGAGGAAGTGTTGGATTGATGGGTTTGATCTCCAGGAGAGTCTATGAAGGTGGTTTCCATGTACTCGGGTTAGTTTAAGACTCTCCAATTAGTTTATAGCTCTTTCAGTTTCAAACTTTCTCTAAGGGTTTCTGATTGGATTCTCTGTGATTGCAGGATCATTCCCAAAGCTTTGATGCCAATTGAGGTATGTATCTTCTTATAGAAGCTCAGTTTTTTTTTTTTCTTTCTTCCAGGAACTAGCAAACTTGGATGGAGTTTTGAAGTTTGTCTAATGATGAATCATGTGTCTGGAAGTTATTCATTTGTTTGCACTACTAGCTCTTGGTTCTTGCCTACGTTTGTATGATTTAAGATCAGGAGAGGAAACTATGTTCTTGGTTTTTGTTGTTTGGTTAAATTTGGGATTGTGTGGTTTTATCTTTCTTTCCTCGAATCTCATGACTTTGGTTTCATCAGATATCTGGTGAGACTGTGGGAGATGTAAGAGTTGTTGCAGACATGCATGAGCGAAAGGCTGCAATGGCACAGGAAGCTGAGGCCTTCATTGCACTCCCTGGTGAGTTATCGTTTTTCATACTGATTCTAGCAAAGTTTTAAACTTTTGGCTTGAAAACCACGGATGTTTGTTTCAGGAGGTTATGGAACAATGGAGGAGCTGTTGGAGATGATAACATGGTCACAACTTGGTATCCATAAGAAGACGGTATCTAACATTTCCTTTGCTCGGTGGAAGAAGAAGTAGGCTACTAATACCTCTGTTGATTCGTTTGAAATTGTTTCTGCAGGTTGGTCTACTGAATGTTGACGGATACTATAACAATTTGCTTGCTTTATTTGACACCGGTGTCGAAGAAGGTTTTATCAAGCCAGGTGCACGTAACATTGTGGTTTCTGCTCCAACAGCCAAAGAGCTTATGGAGAAGATGGAGGTACATTAACTTTGCCTTCCCTTTTCTTCTTGTTATGAGGTTGTGCTTTTACTTCTATCTTATAGAGAAGAAATCAATGATTATCTCTTAGTGAACACAATTTCCTTGAAAATCAAAAGGAACACATGCGGTTTCGATAAGACATTGTTGGTATTATTGTGTAAAACATAGTTAAGTGGGAGTGTGTTCAATAATTTTGTTTCTCAAAAAGAATTCATAATCTTGGCAGGAATATACTCCTTCACACAAGCATGTTGCATCGCACGAAAGCTGGAAAGTTGAAGAACTCGGAGATTACCCGGGACAACAAAACAAGCCGCAATAAAAAAAACTATTAATGTTAGCATAAGCTACTTCCATTTCAAGTTTAGTCTCTAAATTATTTGCAGAATCCACAATGTGTATAAGAAAACTCAAATCTTGTTGCAATATGAAACAGCACATTGGGTTCCCAAAATGAAAGTGTTGCTGATTATGTAGTTAAGTTTGGTATTTTGGGTAAAGAACCAAAAAAAACGAAAAAGACTTCACCTTTTGTGTTGTTATGTTAAATCTTTGGTTTCCCCTAAAGAAAGAAAGGAGGAATCTTTTTGAGTGTGGGTGATGCAGAAAAGTCTCACAAGTGTCGTGTCATAGTGAATGTCCATTGAGATAGGAGTGTGGTCCCTTGTTTGTATCATTCGATGGCTTCAATAGAAAAGCACAAAATGTGAATGATGTGTGACCAAGTTGGACATGGATGGGTTTCTTCTTTTTTGCCAAGTGCCTTGTGTGGTGGGGATTGATTGGCTATCTTTTCCTCTTTTTATTTATTTTGTGTGTCACATTCTTCTTTCTACGTTGGATCAATTTGATTAGGTCATTGACTAGTTTAAAGGTGGTGATGATGACCTTCATGGTATTAAAAGATGATTTTAGAACGTGTTTTTAGATGGTGATTAAGGTTTTTTACAAGAGATTCGGTCATACTTTGATTCCTCACCACTATTTAAATAGATAAATGAGTACAAAGAAATCCGCTGGAAGAGGGTAAAATATTTCTCTTATGTCATCGACAATGTACCGCAAAACACTAATAATAGCTTCAAAATTTGTACTCAAATTGCTTAACCTTTTCTCTAAATTTTGTTTACATCGGCCTAATAAATATACTTAGTTGTTTGAACAATGTTATGGGTACTAAATTAGTTGAATGTATGTTTTGAATCTCGCACATATGGGTTCGAAAATCTACTTCGAACTTCATTATATTCTTTGTCGAGGATAATCTAATGTTTGGAAAAGATTTCAAAATCATAACATCTTTTGTGTTTTGGTAAAATCAGTTAAAGATACATCTAATAATAACGGAAAAACGGTCTATTTCTCCCCGAGAACTATCGTATCTGGCCAGATAAAGCCCGATCTTTGACCTCTGTCTATATACCCATGAAACGGAAGTTAAATGTTTATTTCCACACCAATTGAAAGTTCGAGAGCTTAATGTCCATGAATCATAAGTTCGAGATTTAAAACCCCATAGCGCTGGGTTAATTGGTTTATTGTATACCAAACCGATGCTTTAACCGATTAAACCTAATTAGAACCAATCTAAACCCAAATTACAACCTGTTCTTGGTTGAAAACAATCTCAAGATTTTCCGGAGTCGGCTTGTAACCGTAAACTTGTCGGAGCTAGATTCTTCTGCGGTGGTTATGAAGCAACCAACGGGAAAATGAATGAAACGACTGAGTTTCGTTCTCCGCGTGACTCCGATGGACATGGGACTCACACAGCTTCAATCTCCGCCGGCCATTACGTTTTTCCGGCGTCAACTCTTGGCTATGCTCGCGGCATCGCTGCTGGGATGGCTCCGAAAGCTAGACTCGCCGCTTACAAAGTCTGTTGGAACTCCGGTTGTTACGACTCCGATATCTTAGCTGCTTTTGACACCACCGTAGCCGACGGTGTCGATGTCATCTCTCTTTCCGTTGGAGGCGTCGTGGTTCCTTATTACCTCGATGCCATCGCCATTGGAGCTTTCAGAGCTATTGACAGAGGGATATTCGTCTCTGCTTCCGCCGGAAACGGAGGTACTGCTTGTTTACGGTGGTAGTTTACTCGGCGGCGATGGTTACTCTTCGTCTCTGTGTCTTGAAGGCTCGTTGGATCCGAATTTGGTTAAGGGAAAAATTGTTCTTTGTGACAGAGGAATCAATTCTAGAGCAACCAAAGGTGAAATCGTACGGAAAAATGGAGGCTTGGGGATGATTATAGCGAATGGTGTGTTCGACGGCGAAGGTTTAGTCGATTTTTGGTTTTGATGTGTTTTTTGGGTAATGGGTCATAAACAGGTTGTAATTTGGGTTTAGATTGGTTCTAATTAGGTTTAATCGGTTAAAGCATCGGTTTGGTATACAATAAACCAATTAAACCCAACGCTATGGGGTTTTAAATCTCGAACTTAGGATTCATGGACATTAAGCTCTCGAACTTTCAATTGGTGTGAAAATAAACATTTAACTTCCGTTTCATGGGTATATAGACAGAGGTCAAAGATCGGGCTTTATCTGACCAGATACGATAGTTCTCGGGGGGGAAATAGACCGTTTTTCCAATAATAACAATCTTGAAACTTTATCATTTACTAGTCACACTTGCGTTTAGGGACCAAGAAAAGCTGAACTGGGGTGTGGGGGTTGGGACCCTTGAAGTACATATAAAAAAAAAGAAAAAAAAAAGAGAAAATGAGAGATGGTAAAATACTAAAATAGTAAAATGTGAAAGTGTCACTTCATTGTCAAACATACTTGTCTCCCTCAGTTTTGATGTGTATGTCCTGATTTGGTACCAATATAGGTTAAACCCCAACCTAATTGTAGTTGATGTTTGTATCTCTTGCATTATGTGCATGAGTGCATCTCTCACTTTCTTTCCATCTTTTCCCCTACAATTTGGTTAACCGGTCTTTTTCAGTTTCTGTACCAACAACCAACTTGCACATCCATATCTTTGAGTTTTCATTCTTTTCCCTCAAGATATTAATGAATACATACAAGAGAAGACCATGGAAGAACAACTACACTTTCAGAGCTAATAACAAAATATAAGACGCAACTCATATATAAATCAAACCGAATCAAAATTTGAGACCAAATGTCCACTCAACTCTTAATTATGGGTCATGAGGATTGATCGACATCAGAGCCTTAGTGATGACGTGTGTTCGCTAGAAATGATATGTCTATTCGTTCATTTTGTTGTCTTTTCAGACGATTCAAGTGACCTAATCGGTATCAAAACTCACTAGATCATTCAAATGTCTGGCATTTGAGCAAAATGGAGAAAAAATTAAGGACCCGAAGGTAGGTATAACATAAACCAAGTTGGTTCGTATATACCAGATTCATAGTTTGCACAATTAGAGTAACATGACAAAGGGAACTCATATTTCACATTTTAGATACCAAGTTACGTCATAAATTGATCCCAAGCTCTGACTTTTAATCTGTTCCCACAACTGGAATATCAATGAAATGAAACCCCGGAATATGAAAATCTGACACCTTTACTCATAAATTCGGGAAATAACTTGTGTTAAATGCATGCACTCAGCAAATATTCTTCGGTGTTTCTATATCTCTTTTTCTGAATCTCTTTAGTCTTTATCTTTTGATGGGGATGATAAGAGATGGTGTAATGTTGCTGCTTGGATAACCGCACTTGGGTTTGTATCCTTTGGTGTGTGAGAAGGTGTCCGCCTTATGTTGAAACCTCTTTCTAAACTGGTTTGTCTGGAACGCCGGAATGACCGTGGAAGATGTCTGATAAGCCGTGATGAAGTCACAAGTAATACAACACCTAGCATAATAAGTAACCTGCAAAAAGTTTCAAGAAATCTATAGTTCTGATGGCAAAATCTATTTGGAAAGATCCGTTGCAACTTCTGATTCATGTGTACGTGATGTTTCTCTAATGACAGATAGAAGTTGTCTTAACTGGCACACTAACAATACAAGAAAGTAATGAGTAGAACTTTACCATCCCAGGAGAAGTAAAAGCCGTCCAGATGGTGAAGTGGGTAATTTCTCACCCAGAGCAAACATTCCTGCAACCACACCTGTTACAATTGATGCCACAGCAGCGCAAGTGGATACTACGATTGCTCTCCCATGTTTTAGTCCCCGAGTCTGGTAAAGTAAAAACAAAAATAAGACTAGAATCAAGATTACATAAAAACCCTGAATATCAACCTATGAAAAAACTACAGGTAGAGAGAGAATCCTTTATGCTATACACGATGGTGCATTACACATTCATATGCAGATAGGTAAGACTACGAGGAAGTGTAAAAAGACTAAGCTCGGACAAAGTACCTGGTAGAAAAATCCTGTTCCACTACAGCATATACTAATAGAAATGCACATGGGAATGAACATTGCAGAAAATCCCTGCTCCACGAATACAAAACCCATCTTTGATACTACAGATGCCATCCTGTGATCAAACGAGTTATAAACTGTTGTCAGCTATGCACCAAGCTATGAATTCAGTTCAAATATAGTTTTTGTCTCTCTGAAAATGATTTGCAGACACACCACTACATAGGTCCTTCTATGTTCTAAAAAATTAACAGCACATATCAATGGATACATAGGAGATAATCGGTAAATATCAGAGGCTAGGCACATAAGACGAAATATGCTCTTTGATGTTTATGGGTACCGAAAGATACCCGAATAAAATCCCAGATTCCAAGCCATAAATAATTTCTTCCACCACTTCATACTCCCCCTACAAACCAAAATTAGGCTAAGTGCATTTGGTAGGAGAAATAAAAGTCAGTAACATTAAAGGTGATACTAGTTCTTATAGCTGAAAACAAATTAGACAGCTAATATACCAGCTCCTGCTCCCTGCGCTGGCGTTTGAATATATGAAGCCACGCATTTAGTAGTACCTAGTCCCAAAAATCCAACAAAGAAGTTATTAGAAACATTGCCATTACCTCACCAATTAAGTAATATACTGATATTATTTGCAAAAAACAAATTATAGACCCAATTGTTTTACTGCTCAGACTTAGAAAAGATGTATACAAGTTCAGAGAAGCCATCAGTCAGCAGAAGATAAAAGGAGATGATGCCAGAAGAGGAACACTTTTCTATGAAATACCAATACCATGGATGAAAGGTACCTACAAACAAGATGGCAACAACCAATGCTAGCCACAGCAACTGGAAGACCGATATTAATGATGCTTCTTGCTCCTCACCACCAGCACCAACTCCTACAGAAAATGTATAAATCCTCACCACATATTAGGTGATTTTCTGTATGCAGAAGATGATAGTAAGCAACAGTCAAAGAATCAATAATGATTGATGTTACCTATGGTGCCAATGCCGGCGACGGTAATCCCAATCCAGTCAAAAACATTCATGACTTCTTTCAGATAAAAATGCGAAAAGACGGAAAGAATGGCAAGTCCACATCCAGAGACTGGCTGAACAACAGACACCTGAAAGCAGCAGATTTCCAAAAGCTCACAATCAGGGCCTAAGGTTTATCAGCACGGCAAATTATCATAAACAGACATCTCAAAGGCAACTATCTTGACATCAAAATGAAAGATTGAGAAAGTTTACTTACAGGGGCAAGTGATAGTGCTCTCAGCATCAACAAAGCCCCAACAATGTCCATAAGAAAACCTAACGCCCATGGTTTGTTAACAGCATATGCTCTTATCACCTGGAATTCGTAAATTATGATCAAATGTGAGCTTCCCATAGATAAATTGACCACCACCACCTCTAACTCATCACCATGATTGACATGACAAATTCAATGAAACATGGAATCGAGCCTCCGCAATAATTTGAATCAGACAATTTGACTCCGATCCAATTTCGAAACTCGAATTTCACAAATTTTCATCGAATTAGTTGTATCACGAAATCGAATTCAAATTTCCAGAAAGTAAGGTTAACGTTTTTTAGAGATCCGTCCAATCAAATAGCATGCAATCAAAATCCAAAGCATCAAAAGGGCGAGACAAAAGAGAAAATCGGAAGATTAGAGAGAGAGATTTACCTTAAGCTTGAGGGAGAGAGGAGGGAGGATAATAGTGCCCTTCTTCTGGAGAACTTTGCCGATATTGTTGCCGGCGGTGGCCGCAAGCGTTAGGCAAATCGATTCCCACATCTCTCAAAACGCCGACGAGAAACGAAGCAAGCTTTTTTTATGGAGGAATGATTTTTGCCGATGTGTTACGTTATTATTATTTACATACATGCCCCTCTTCCTATTTTTATTTATTTATTGACATGTCGTGGTAAATGGAAATATAGTAATTTCCTTTTTTTATAGCAATTTTATTCTATGGTAACAAAACAAAATTTATCTCTGTGCTTTCATTGATTTTATTTTATCATATTGCTGAAAACAAAAAATAAAATACAAGCTGGCAAAAAATTAAAATAAGTAAGTAAATTATACATGCTAATTAAATTTTAGGTTTTGAGTAGGTAAATCGGTGCAAGTCAAAAAAGCTAATGGCGTTTACAAGTCCATTTTTTCAAATTTTTTAAAATACAAACTATTTCAAAGTTATTATAAAACATGTAACTACAAATGTCAAGTGTAAAACATAGCCAAAGAAAATTATATTACGTTATGAAACATACATTCTACATATAAATGTAAATGTAAACAAACAGTTTAAACCTAAAAACATGTTTTGGCTATTCTCTGGCAAAAGACTAAATGTGAAAATATTTTTCCCATTTTTTTGTTGGTTCATAATCAACCATTTTAGCTGCTTAAAATTTGGAAACTTCTTCACAACTTGGATTTGGAATATGACTCGAGTACAAAGTATAAACTAATGGTACATATGCATTTACGAATCCGATGGGTATCTAAATATTTTTTTGTTTAGAATGCTTCATTAGATTAAATAACCCAACTTAAACAAGTTCAACATAAAAAAACGTCGCTAACCAGTAACCATGCTTAGCTAATTCGTCCATGCCAACACATGAGCAGTCCTCTGCCCTCAAAATTAACCGAAAACTGAATAGTCGAGAAGGCGAGATATATTTTAAATTAATTGTGTTGATTGTTTTGGGTATCTCATTCATTTTGTTGATATTGAAATGACTTGAAACAGAGTTGTGATATGGGATTTAGTATGAGTTGTCCTCTGCCACAAGTTTGTGATGTTTAAAGAACTAATCAGTGGAAATTTTGACCTAATCTTAGTTAAACAAGTGGGTTATCTCGATGACAAACAAAACATTTAAGTCTTCCAAGTGCAGACTCAGATCAAAACCGACAAAGTAAGCTATTAAGAATGACAAACACAAATAGAGAAATGGTCCCCAAATAAACCGAGTTATTGTCAGCTTGTCAAAAGCCAACTTTTTACTCGAGATCATAATTAACCACAAGTAATCATTTTACTAACAGAAACTTGCTTTCTAAAATCTCAAGTTCGAGAGATCTTACAAGTTGCAAACATGTTGAAATGATAACCTCTAAAATGGTACCTAAGAATCATATAAACACGTGAAATAAATTGTTAACGTTGAATAAAAGCAGAGCTTTTGATGCGAATTAATGGATGATCACCAAAAAGATGTGAACATAATTTAAAACCAAGGAGTGAGATAATTGATTAATCACCAGATGTAATGAGGCAAACACCAAAACCCAACCATCATGTCAAAACCTAGTTGTAAACAAGAATGGATCATCATGATACATGGATCAAGCAAGAGACCGTTTCACAATCTATTTGAAACAAGACTTTAGACGACTAATAATCTTAGCAAAGAGCATCAAACAAGAAGATTCTCCATCGAACCTAATTTCTGAGTGCAAAAGATTCATCCAAATTCCAAAGGTCTCTTTACTTGGTGAAACTAATGATCATATATAATTTTGTGGCGATGCAGCCATCACAGTTATATTCAAGATTACAAACACACAAAGAAGATACATAAGAGATAAAGAGAGAGAACACGCTCATAATTACTTGAGAAAATCAAAAATCAATATAAAGAAGAAAAAAGCAAAAAGCTCAAGAAATAAAAACAAGGTAAAATAAAATTACAGAAATTAAAAAGGTGAAAATGAATCACCACCAACCATAGACGACCTGTGTGTACCTCTGCTTAAGCCATCTGAAACTGTTTCTAAAAGAGCCTTTGACTTTACCTTCAACACCATACATCTTATAACTCGCGACCCGTTTCTTCCTCTGGAGCTCCGGGTCCGTTATCCCCCACGACTTGGATCTTGCTATCGATTTCTCCTTTTTCACATCGTATATATTGTTGTCCCTCGTCCCGTACGATGCGCTATAGCTCCTGAAATCACCGGTTCCCGAAGCGCCGCCGTGGTAAGGCTGGATCTGCATCCCTCCGTCTCCGTATGGTCGTTGACGGCCGAAGTCTTCCATGGATTCCGGCAAGTTTGATCGAGAGAATCTTTTTTTTTGTTATTACAGCTCAGAGAATAATTGGAGAGAAAAGAGGAGAATAATAGTAACGCAAAAAAGGACGTGTCTTTTGAGCTGGTCTCAATTTGTTGCTCCACGCTATATGAATTATTTTATTTATTTCTGTAATTTAAAAAAATATTTTTTAAAAAGGCAATTGGAGATAAGAAAAAAGCAAAAAGAAAACCTGTTACAGATATTAAAACGCTAATGCGTTTGGAAAATTTAATAATTAAGAAACAGAAGATAATAAAATTAAGATTAATACGTTTTTTACACATAAGGGAATTATGAAAATTTACTTGTGTGTGAAATTTCAGACAAAATTAAGAATCATGGAAATAAATATGAAGTAGTAGAAATTTGTTTTGTGTGCGTAATTGACTGTTGACCGTTGATGTGATTTAGCGGTCAATGGGCCAAGTTGTGTGTGATAATGTTAACGAATCCAAAATTAATTGATAGGCGTCATGTTTGTATTCACACATTTTGCTGGGAACAGTAGTATAACTGTATAAGACCATATATGGCATATTCTGTATTACACTACACAACTTTAATCAATGTCTTCATTTTCCACGAGCTATCATTTTCCCACATGAAAAAGTAGTTGATATTTTCTAAAATTTAAATATCAGAAATTAAGTTGATAAATTAATTTTTCTTTTTTAAAAAAAACGAAATATTTATCATAGCTTAAGGTCCAAAACCAAAAACTGAAAAAAGTAAAGGTTACATGTGGCAATATTAAGGGAAAGAGAGAATTATGGGTCTGACTGGTAGAATGAGAGTAGAATGAGAGAAGAAATATTTCTCTTCTAATACCTACCATTTTAATTTTTTGTTCTCAAAGAAAGTTTTTTTTTTTCAGCAGAAAACTTTCTTCTACGTAATATTAGCACAAAATTTTTATATGTGTAACATGCAAATTGAAATTTTTATATGTGTAACATGCAAATTGAAATTTTTAAGACATCTGGATGCAGCGAATGGTTTCTTAGGCCTTTTACTAAGCCCAAGCCCACAGGCTCCTTAACATGTCCGGTTGACTACTTAACCGGGAATATGGATATGCCATATACCGAAAATTTAACCTTAACCAAATCGATTTGAAATCTTAAAAAGAGAAGGATAAAATGATGAGATGACCACTTGACCAGCGTGGTTCTGATGTCGGTCTCGGCCACTTGCGATGTGGGGTTGGGCGGCATATTCGTTCTCACCACGTGTCTCCTCAGGGGCTCTCCACGTGATTCCCACGCCGAAAGTGGAAAGAAATACAGGGTTTGAGTATCAGAGAAGAATCTTAATAGTAATATTAAACTATATTGTTCTGTGGTCACTTATATATTCCTTTTTGATTTGATTAAACAATAGCATTGATTGGTGACAAAACGAAAAGCAGTACAAAGCTGTACACAAAAATTGTTACCACTCAAAATAACTTTATGAAAAATGGTACACAATAACAACAGTTTTTTTGGACAAAAACAAAACAAATTAAAACAGTTACGGTTAAGGTTCAATACGATTACGGTTAAATACGGTTACAATTACAACATTTATGGTTAAATATGGTTACTGTTATTTGATGACTACAAGTTTACAATACGGTTAATATCGGAGGCGAAATCTTACGACAAATTTTCATCATTTCGAGCAGTATAACATTACAACATATTTATTTGAGAAAAAGACCATTTTTTATAAAGTAGATTTTTTCATATGCGCTTTCACATAAAAAGAATAGATTTTTTCATATGCGGTATCATTTACTTTTTTGAAAATCTTAGTCTGAACATTCGATATTTGTTTTTGCATTATATGGAGTTACAATTATATTTTTAAAGTTTTAACTATGCGGTTAATAGTACGGTTAACCATGCGGTTAAATAACGGTTTTGATATGTTTACGGTTAATTAACGGCTACGGTTAATATATATTTTAACCGTAACTAATTATTTTTAACGGTTAACGGTTACGGTTTTTAACCGTTTTATACGGTTACGGTTGATAAACGGTCTGGTTACGGTCCGAAATACGGTTACGGTTAGCTTTTGGTCATGTCTACAATCTTCAACTAGGCATGACCAAAAGCTAATTGTAACCGTATTTTGGATCGTAACCGGACCGTTTCTCAACCGTAACTGTATAAAACGGTTCAAAACCATAACCATTCACCGTAAAACTAGATTAGTTACGGTTAAAAAAAATATACTAACCGTCACCATTAATATACCGGAAACGTATCAAAACTGTTATTTAACCGTACGATTAACCGTATTATTAACCGCATAATTAAACTTTAAAAATATAGTTGTAACTATGTAATTTTTTTTTCTAAACTCTGAATATTATTTATTATTTGTATCGTTATGATGTTTCCAATCAGAGTTAATTTTAAAAAATTGTTCTGTATTGTTTTTTTGTACAGCTTTCGTGTTTTTTTTCTTTTGTACAGCTTCGCACTATTCCCTAACAGCTAACAACTCCAGCTAACCGCTCCAGCTAACAGCTAACAGCTTGTTACCAATCAGACCCAATGCTAAATACACATATGTGATTCTGCCTTCTGAATCTCTAACGCCAACACCAAAGCAATATTGATTAATATATCTCTTTGATTAGGATTTTAAAACATGTACAGACCAGAGAGAGAGCCTAACCATGTTCTGATTGCTAATCCAAAGAAATTATGGACTTTAGTTTGGAACTTTTTGATGATAGGAAAGAAAAAAGAAACATATTAACTTTCACTGCAGTAATTAAGAACCTGGCTTCTAGAATTGGATTTCGATACAAGTTTTGATTTTTGTAGTCAACGAAACTATTGTGCTTTCCAAGCTCATTCCAACTTCTTTATAAGTATGATATTGTCCGTTTTAGGCATACATGCTCAAGCTCGCACGGATTTGTTATTGGACTTCTTCTCAAAATACCTCAAACTAATTAGAGTTGGACTTTACTTAGAAACTTCTTTTCTAAACTTCTGATTTGAGACGTTGGTTTGTAACTTTGTACCAACAGAAACATTGATGAATACATGACTAGTTTATTTATTTAGTAATCAATGGTAAAACGGATAGTCTTTGATTAAGCCGATGAAGTTTAACCATCTTCTAACTTTAAAACGGATAGTCTTTAAAACGGATAGTCTTTAAAACGGATAGTCTTACAATTACTTAGTTTAATTTGTATAAATACGTTATTAGGTCTAAATGCATTTTAGTTTAACCATCTTCTAACTTTTGTTTCTTCTTTTTCCTTTTGTTGAGGCGTCAACTTCAAGCAACACCGAATCCATAATGGATCCAAATTAGAAGTCAAAGTGAATATGTCCCACAACATTTGATTCCCTTATCGTTGAATGATATACCATCAATTTTGGAGATGATATAAATATATTTGTTTAGAATATTGAATTAAGTTCAAAAATACTATTTATAAAAAATATTGTTTACATATATGATATAACGTGATTCGGTATGAAATTTACATACGCATATTTTAATTTTTAGAATTTCTATAATGTATTAACTTTCCTTTTATATATATATTTATATATATATATAAGTAAATAACAAAACAACAAAAAAAGAAAAAATATATATATATACCAACGGTGCGTTGGGTTAGTGGGTTAGTAGTTTAAATGCAGGGGTTGGATCCATGTGCTCTCTCATTCGATTCCCGGTAGGAAGAATATTTTACGCCATGTTATAAGGTATTAGCAAAAGCTGGTCCTCGACCATAGAGGAGAGAGATGATTAAGGCCTAGATCTAAACCGTCACCTAATTAAAAAAAAAAAAACAAAAAAATAATAATTATGATTTATGATGCAATTGTGTGTGCTTTGCTTAAAAAGGAAAGTTGTCAAGGAAGGATAACGTATGCGCACTTCCATATTCGGAATTATCAGCTAAAATTTATAGTTTAATATATATATATATCCTTCTTCTACTCTGACAGAAAATAACTAATTTTCTTCTACTCTGATTGAACGCACCACCAATGCTGCACTGCACCAGGTGTCATCATCATTACATATTCGCATTCTCGGTAGATCTAATCACCGTTTTTTTTTTTTTTTTTTTCAAATGGAAACTTTGAAATAAAGTAACAATAATGATGTGGCTTGTTCCAAATGGAACATTCTTTTTTTTGGTAACCCAGGTATCCCATGTTTGCCGACAGGGCAGGGATACACGTGTTAGACTATCGGTTTGCATCAGACTAGCCACGTGGTTGGCCAAATGGCGCTCCACGTGTTGGCTCCTAGAACGCTGCAGCCCATATGTAAATATTGCAGTGGCCGAGGCTCGAACTCGTGATGGCGGGTACCTCAGCTGAGGGTCCTTTACCACCAGAGCTAGAGGCTCCGGTTCTTATAGTTTTCTTTGTCATTATGTATTCTACTAATTCTAATTTCGGATGGTAATATATAAAGATGATACTAGCTAGTGATGTTAAAAAAAAAGAAAAAGAATAAAAGATGATACTTGTAGTATAAATTATTAGGGTATATGTTAAGTAGAAAGATTTTTGTAGTTATATTATAATTTGTGGTGGTAATAGGACGAATTTAATTTAAGATGTAAGAAATCATATTCCCTCTGTTCCTGAAAGTTTGATGTTCTAGTGTTTTAGGTTTGTTTCACAAATATTGATTTTCTAGCTTTTTTATTTTATTTTTTATTAATTGATATTAACAAATCGTAGATTTCAAGGCGTAATAATTACAAATAATTAACTGTTTTAGATTACTATTTGTTCATACATTATTAAAAATATTTAATAAAAAAAAAATTATTAAATGATTAAATCATGATTGTTTCTTAATATATATGTAAATTCTAAAACATCAAATTTTCAGGAACAGAGGAAGTATAATTTATAAAATGTTTTTCGGAAAGCATGCATGCTTTAAGATGCTTTAGCGCCGTATTGGATATTGGGGTGTGGCTGAACTTTTTCATGATGAGTCTCTGGTGATTTGTAATTGGTCGGTCCAATTTTTTGTTCCACTAATGGTTATGCTTTCTTCCTGAATTCTCAAATTACTCTATATCTATATGTTTTTAAATATGAGAATAAAACATCATCCGATGTTTGTTCGACAAACTTCATCCATATGTTATTCCAAAGTTTTTGGATCATTAGTTATATATATGCATTGTTAGTTGATACGTTGTTCACATTAACATTTGTTCATTTTGGGATATTCCGTAAGTAACTTGCCACCAAGAGCCAATTTTTAATCCTATGATTGTGTATACAAGGAATAAGGTTTATGTATAATGAATATAATAGATATTATATATATTAAGAGTAAAATGCTGATTAGATATCTCATATCTGTGTAAATAAACGTGCAACACAGATAAAAAGACGATACTATTTGACGATTTATTTTGTGATTCGAATTACCAAATTATGTTTGACAAAAACATTATTATTAGCAAAAACAGACGACGCCTACGAAAATCAAGTAGTAAATCAATCAGCATTTTAGTTGATAGTTGTTTAGACCAAACAAAACAAAAGAAAAAAAACAAGTAGAAAGTTGCAGTTATTCACGTGGTTACAAAATGGAACAATCTTTATCAATAATTCATGAGGGAGATTTGAGTTTATCTCTTTATCATTTTTTTTAATCCCAATACTCTCTCCCCATTTGGCTATAAAAAGCCCCGACAGGTCTCAGTTTCTTCCCACATCCAAAGATAGAAAGATGTAAGGTCTAGTTAGTCTTGTTCTTAATCTTCAAATAGAACAATGATATATATAAATATATGTCTATGCATCGGTTGTGGAGGACTAGCTACGGTTTCGAGCCTGGTCACATGCGTAGAGTGTGAAAGGTAAGAGGAGGTGACAGAAGAGAGTGAGCACACATGGTGGTTTCTTGCATGCTTTTTTTTAATTAGGGCTTCATGCTTGAAGCTATGTGTGCTTACTCTCTCTCTGTCACCCCTTCTCTCTCTCTTTTCAAATTACAAGGTTAATTATAACTGGTAAAAGGTCTCTGGTTTTGTTTGATATATTTGAGGTTTTAGTTATATTATCATCAAACGGATCAAAGTAGTTTGAGGGTATGAGTAGTATGCAACTTTTGTTATAATGTTATTTCGTTACATCTAAAAGATATAATACTATGTTTTTATATCAAATATTTTGTTCTGAATTGTAAACGTCAAGTCGGTAGTATTTGGGAAAAAGTAATTAATAAACGTACGATGGAGCAAAAAAAAAAATCATTGTGTTTATTGGTTTCAAACATAATTAAAAATAGCTACTATGTGTCTCCTATAAGCATAGATATTATTTATTTAAAATTGATGACTATTTTTTAACCTCCTAAGAACAAACATGTTCATTTTTTTATTCAAGATGTTGGAGTACTTATGTTAATCTCTATGCAGTTACACGTATGAATCTGCCTATCATATAATTAGATTTATAAGAATTTGGCTACCAGTGTACCTTTGGTGTACTTTTGTGTGACAAATATTTTGTCATTGCAGATTTGAAACCCTAAACTTTGATACGTTTGAGAGGAGTTTGTTCTAAGTATGATATTTGGTTGAAGTGTTTATACAAATGAATCTTTTACCCGATTTCTTTTCCAAAATCACAAATACAATTTTTTTATTTGAGGAGCAAAGGAAGCCGACATTGACGACGGTTGAAATTAGGTTTAGACGGAAAAAAAAAACGCTTCTTCTAGATCTTTGTATGTACGAGTTCATGCAGATGTGACCGCTTACGGAAGTTTGTAGATGGAGACAACATTTGTGGATGACGGAAGTTCAAATATATAAGAAAGACGGATTTTGCATATATAAACGTGATGGACATGTATTATGTTGTAAAAGAGATGGATGCTAAAATCTGTTCATATACGTTTATGTTAATTATTTATAATATTATAAAATATTTACTTCAATTTTCCTTCAAAACTATTATCCAAAAAAAGTCTTCAATAATTATATTGACTTGAGTCACAAAATAAACCAGTTTTAACGTTGAACATAATTTATGAAAATTGTGACTAAAATACCAGTGTGGTATAACTCTGAAGCTGCCCTCTCCTCCTTGCAAATTGTAGACGAAATCCAAAGACGTTTCGCCAACTTTCTCAACAATTCAAAAAAAAAAAACTCAAATCGCAAAATTGCTTGTTTTAGATGTATTCGTAATGTATACTCATCCACACAATAAAGAGTTAACAATTACGACAAAAAGAATAGGACTGGCCGACTGTGTGAGATGAGGATCTTGTGTGACCAAATCAATTGAAAATTTCTTGCTAGAATGGCTCCAAATCGGACTTTCATATTTTCATCAGTAGCAAAAAAATGGATAAAGTCTTAATCCCATAAAATTTATACCAAAATGCATTGATACTCTTCACTCACTTTTAATGCTTTTGTTGTCTCTCTCTATATATATGTGTATTAGCATATCATTCTTACAACAGAAGCCAAATTTATGGAAAAAAAAACCTCATGAAAAAACCTCTTAAGATTCAGGTGTTGTCTCAGGAGTCTGCAAAGGAATAGGACTGTTATCTTCTTTCTCGTTCGGACTCTCAGCCTGTTTTTCTTCAGGTTGGGAGGCTACACCATTTTCTGATGCATCCTTTGTGTCGGTGCTGATGACTTTCGGAGATTTGTTGGATGGTTCTTGAGAGGACGATGCAGCTAAGATGCGACCCAGACCTTCGTATGGGCTCTTGGCATCCATAACGATTGTGGCACCACCTGGATAACATCGGCCAAAGCATGTGGCGCAATGTGGAAAAACCACCTGTAAGAACAAGGAACCAAAGAGAAAAAAGGGAAATATGAGTCAGGACATAGAGGTGTTCAATCTGGAAACTGTGGCTTGTTGATACAAAACTGAGATGAGAATGAGATGAGATTCAAAACTGGACCTCGACAAAAGCTCGGCAAAGTGAGAGGAAGAGATTGGATTCACTGAGTCGAAGCATCCGAGTTGTATTGTATCTTAGTAAGGAGTCAGACACGGCCTGGAGTCCTTTGATCAGTTCATGAGCAACAACATTCTTTAGACTTAGTGGGGCACAAGGACGTAATTCGTTCAAAGCAGCAGATACACCTGTGGAAATGGCCGGGATTATCAATCCAAATCAGACTGTGAAAAAACATCCATAAGAGATACAATTTTCATTTTGCAACATTTGACATAGTTAGGAGTTAGGACACTCATTTTTTGGTTATATCATCCATACTATTAAAAATTGATACTTAATAATTATCTCACCGTTTATGAAAACTGCAAGTGGCGGGTGCTCCATCAAGTATGATGGAGGTGTGACATCATCCTTGCTATCTTCATTAATACCACTTGAAGGGAAGCCAACAGATGGTAATGGAACCCATCGATGTGAATCCAAAACTAACTGGACGTAAAACATTATGAAGAATTCAAAAGAGCAATTCAAGAGTGCGACATGTGGTTAAATGGAAACCAAACATTGTCTGAGTTGAGCTCCATGCCAGAACAAACGTTCAAATTTTGTATTTACTCACCTGGAAATTCTCAACTGCTGTACTCATGTTCTTGGAGAATAAGTTTAGAACCGCCCTGTAGAAAGTATGCGAGTTAGATGTTGAACTTGTACAGAAATTAGCAAAGATTATGACAGCAATTAAAATTAGATTGAAAGAATTGTTACTCTTCAAAAAGTGGAGGAAGCAAACCCCGGAAATCTAGCCCAACCCAACCAAGCCCCATCGCACAGTACTGAGTGGACAAGAGAAGGAAGGTAAGATGTCAATCATCAGAGTTGAACAGTGAATTCAAAGGGGAATACATGAGATGCAGAAGAACTCAACCATGCACTGATCCAAAATATTTGATAGAGATCCTCCTTCAGTAATCTTCGGAAGCATGATTTTCAGAGTCTTCAGGTGTGATGTTATTTGATGCATGGCCCAGCTAAACAGAAGTCCACCATCATAATTTTCTTCGCTCCCCGATGTATCATCAGCAAATATAGCTCGATATTGGTTAACCACGTCAAATAGGTGCATTCTGTGACAGTTTATCATCCCTTTTAAATACTCATAGGCATTTTTCTGGTCTAAATCCTCAAGAATTCCAGTGAGCCACGCCTCTCGGCATCTTAAGAACTGCACAGACAAGAAGATCCATTCATAAGTGAAGGCAGAGACCATAGAAAAAGGAATACATGTAATGGAGGATAACTTCAAATGGTTATATGTCAAAATAGTTCACCTGTAATCGCATTTCATACTCGCCAAAGACACCTATTCGGCGTAAGTATCCAATAATGCGGAGACATTCTGGCAACTGAAATATAGAGCATCAACCAGATACTGAGCCTTCTAGATTGCTAAGCTTAACCATTCCATAGTTTACTGAATACAAAAAACAAAAACTGTATTCACATGAAACCTGTATATTTGAGCGTAGTTTCTGGAGAAGCTGTGAGAGAAGTGACTGAGTTGTTTGTCTAACCTCCGCTGCAAGTGCTTGGATAACTGGCAATCTTGACATACAGAGAAGATATAATTGTTAGAGCTAAAGCTTGATGGTTGAGGCCTTAAGTAGTCAAAGGAAAAGTATCGTGAGAAAGATAACAAAAACAACTCACTTGGGATGCATGGTAGCAAGTTTCGATACAAATGCTTCCAGGTCAAGAGCCTCATCAAAATTTCCATTCCTCACGCATCTGAAGAAGATACAAATCATTTTAAAAAGAACTGTACACATCTAAAAGTTGCTTGCTAACGCCAGGAATAAGATCCACTTTTCTTTTCTCTCATGCAAGGCATAAAATAGCTTACGTGTCCATAAGCTGAGGAATCTCAAGCAAGTCAAGAAGAGTGCTGTGATTTGCCAGCAAAGATTGGTTCATCTTCCTCTTCTCCAGAATATTCTCAGCAGAATCGATAAATTCTGTGCAACCGGACGTTAATTTTGGGACTTCGCCAATCTACAAAAGGTGAAAAGAACAGAACTCCGACATCAAAATTTGAAAGAAAAAAAAACATCTCCAAAGATGCAACTGCTAAAGTCAGAGGATGCTTTATATAGATGTGCAATAACCAATCTTGTTTACTGAAAACAAGGAAGCTCAAGCTACATTCCTAATTCAATGATTCATTCACCTATCCTCAAGACGTTAGGTATCTCCTAGACTACAACACATCAAGATCAATCACCCAAGTTTTGCATACACTGAGTCTACAAAACTGCAAGACCTGAAACAACATGGTTCTGCAACTAGACTAGACTTTCTAATTTCCTAACTCTAAAACTATTAAATGCTCCAAACACGATGCCGCGTACTCTTCCAACCTTAACTAGTTTCAGATCTTAGCAATGATACTTGCACTGTGACTAATCGTAACTTTTATCGGCCAGGGTTCAGAAGTAGAACTGAATTGACAAATGGAAGGAAACCAGAGTATAATTTTTACCAGAGACTCGAGATGCTTATCAATGGAAGAAACTTCCTGACGGATCGCAAGCAAAGCATCAGCAGCGGTGATAAACGCGCGGTAATTTCCAACAGCCACCTCTTGCATTTGCCTCTGAATCCTCTCCGCATCCACTCGAAGCAGCTCCGGTTCCTTCAAATTCAGTAACCGATATAAGATTCACAATAACCCATGCGCGCAGAGATGTCAAGAGAAAGAGATAGAGAGAGAGAGAGAAACCTTGTGGAGACGATCGAGAGTGAAAGAGAGGAGCTCGGAGACGTACGGTTGCTGAGTGGCGGAAGCGAGAGAGAGAAGACTCGCCGTCGCCTCCGGCGGAGACATCTCCCCAACCTCCGTTGCCATTCCCGGATCTTACTCTTGTAGCCGATGCTATCAAAATCTCCTCAATGGAAGTATACAACAACAGATCCAGAAACTCACGATTTTTTTCAAATAATTAACATCAAATGTTGTTTCTGTGATTTGTTTTCATGTCTTTGGATCTGAAATTTCTCTTCCGATTTTATTTTCTCTTCGAATTAAGGAGTAAACCAAGTTGATTTTAACCGAAATTCGGCTCTATAAGACTTCGGTTCGGTTAGGAAAATAAACCAACGTACCCGGAAAAATGATTATTGTCATGCATTTCACTTTTTTTTTTTTACATTGTTTTTACTTGTCTTACATATAAATTGCATTAGCTTAATTAAGGGTTTGCCCAAAAAAAAAAAGATTAGAGTAAGGGTAGGTTTTGGTTATGGTTAACTTGGACAAAATCAGCTAGCTTAACTCGTTTTCACATGCCTGAATACTTTGACGTTCGATGTGCATTGATGAAAAAGTAATCTTATACTATTACACAAAAAAAAATACACTACAGTATATATTAGTCGTATTATATAATAATAGAGGAGTCTTTTACACTAACGAACCGTTAAGAAAAATAGATAGAGTAGATACAACAAGAGCAATCAAAAAAGAAGAAGAAAGGAGAGGAATTGAATTTGATGCCGTGTAGAAGTAGAAATAAGGAAATGGGTAAGGAGGCTGCTGCTGCCCTTGTGACTGTCCCTTTGGCGATGGTGGTGGCGATGGTGGTGATGGTGGAGGTGAACCTTTTCCATCGGGAGATAGTGGTGGAGGAGGTGGTGTGGACTCAAAATAGTAAAACCGTGGTGGTGGTGGATGGATGACGGTAATTAATGGCGGTGGTGAACCTGACTGTGAAAGCGGTGGTGGAGAGTGTTTGTGTGGCGGTGGAGGCGGTGGCGAAGAGGATAACGGCAATGAGGGAGACTGAGGTGGTGGTGTGGAGGGAGAGGGTTTATTAGAAGGCGGAGGAGAGCAAATGGTGGGACACGTGGAACATTCGCTGATGCAAAGTGGAGTGAGGACATCTGTTTGATCGGACGGTGATGATGCAACTACTATGACCATGACCAATGCAATGATGATGACGATGAGGCCCATGATGATGATCTAACTATTGGTGTTTGGAGTGGAATGTTCATTGCTTTAGTTAGTTGGTTGGACATTTATAAAATATCTTGATGGCTTGATACAAAGATGCTTTCTTGATGGATTGTGTTTTGCTGGAAAGTTAATTTTAGAATTGCGAATATCAAAAAGACAATGTTAAGCTTTAGATGTTTTTATTTATCTTAGGGTAAAGATGCAAACATAGCTTTTTCAACATTTTGATAAATGACTTATGATATTCCTTTCTCAACTCATACTCAAAAATAATTCATTTTATGAAGCAATACAACTGATTCTCTAGAACCAAAAAGTGTCACACTCTCCAAATTTTTGGTGTCATTGTTCTTTTTATACTTTGCTTTCAAAGGTGGCTTTGTATCAATCCTGTTTTATAAAGGTCGCCATTGTATTGATTCGTTCATCTTTTAATCTTTTCTTAGATTTTTGTTTCTGTTTTATAATTTATCTGTTCTTTAATAACCAAGTAGTACTCTTAGTTGTAACCGGGTGATTTTATATGTTAAAGCCCAAATTAAGTTGAACTCTTTTGAGATTGAAAAAAAAAAAAAACACCCACGTCCGCACAAAAATCTATATCAATATCACATTCTCTCAAAAATTAATAATAAAACTTACAAAGGAACATAATGACAATGTTTGAATGAGTCAATAGCTTCGTTAGCGTATGCTACGAGAACATTAACAATAAGCCATTGCATTTTGTTCATTACTTTTCATCGGAAAGCTAGGTGGAAGTAATATGTTACAGAGATATAATATAAACAAGGATTAGATTTTAGTTAGTAATCTCTTCATGGCACTTCACTTACCACTTTCTTACTTTCTTTCTTGAGAAGCAAGCAATCTCTCTATTCAGTTCCTCACAAAAGTCTTGAAAGATTTAACAAGTATATGATCTTCAGACCCGATTGTTATTTATGGCATCCTAATGAACAAAACAGCGTATTGAAAGTGTAAGTAATTGAGTTAAATCTCAAGACTTTGTTTAGGGTTTTATATGTATAGTAAGATACCTGGTTCATTGTCCTTCCCCAAGCTTCTTAATCGGAGAAGCTCTGGAACAATTTCTTTTCCAAGATCTGGTCTATCTCTCTTCCTTAGCTCTGCACATTTTAGACACAACTTAGCAAAATTTAAAGCTTCTTCGACAGGCCAATCTGGCACGACCGGGTCAAGCATATCCTTGAAAGTTCCTTTATCGATTGCCCTCGACACATGATGAGCCAAACCCATTGGACTCTTTGCAGTGATGATCTGAAGCAGCATTATCCCTAATGAGAATATGTCTGATTTCGTGGTTAACTTGCCCGTTTGCTGGTACTCGGGGTCTATGTAACAGAACGTTCCTGCTGCAGATGTCATGTGGTATTGTGTCACTGTGTTAGCCACTGACGCAGGTACTAACCGAGCTAATCCAACGTCACTGATCTTGCTCACGTAGTTTTTATCTAGAAGTATATTGGCAGGTTTTAGGTCACGATGAACCAGAGGCTCTGGCTTTGCTTGGTGAAGGAAGGAGAGTGCGGTAGCGATCTCTGCAGCTATTTGAAACCTTTTCCTCCATGAGAGAGGAGGCGAGTTTCCTCTACGAAAGAGTCGATCCTCTAAGCTCCCATTGTCCATGAACTCATACACCAAACACCCATATTCTGGACACGCACCAAGAAGAAGAACCATGTGAGGATGTCTTATGCTACTTAGAACCTCGACTTCTTGTTGAAATTGTTTCTTTCCTTGAGCAGCATCAGGTCTCAAGACTTTAATGGCAACAGGAGTGTGATCAAGTGTGCCATGATACACTGGTCCATATCCGCCTTCCCCTATTTTTCTGTTGTTTGCAAACCTTTCAGTAGCCACTTCAATCTCGTCAATAGAGTATCTTCTGTAACGGACATCGTTCTGTACCAAAGCACTAAGAGCACGGTCTTTCTCCTGCGATTCTCTTCTTGCTTTCATCTCTGCTTGCTTCCTTCTTTGTCCTTCCAACTCTGCCATTCTCTGCGCTTTCTCAGCTGCTTCCAGCGCAGCTCTGCACTTGGCCTTCTCCATTTCCGCAACAGCTAAAGCTGCCTCTTCAGCATTCCTAGCTTCCTCAAATCTTCGAGCTTCTTCCAATTTCCACTGATTAAGCTCATTTGCCTTCAAAATACATGAGAGCCATAAAGTATTAGATGGAGCAAGGAGAAGACATCCTCATCAACTAGTTCTTGTACACCTAAGAGTTCTTACTTTCTTTTTCGCATTAAGAGCTTCTTTGCAGGCTGAGCTATACATGTCCATAGTCTGCTTGAGTTCAATCTTTAGCCTTTTCATTTCAGCTTCAATATCCCTCTGCAAATAAGTATCCAACCATTTAGTGCATACTTATCTTGTCAAACTCGATATTATCATAAAATGTATTGCTCTACTTGTCTACATACCGTTGATTGCGAAACTGACTCATCAGAAGAACCGGATGCACCAACCATATCAAAATTCTCAGCACTTAGGTCAATAGAACCCATCATCATCATAGACCCAACATCAGCATCATCAGAAAATGAACTTCTTCCGGTGGAGTTCCTTTGACCCTTTGCCTGCCTAAACTCATAATTGAAGTCCAATGATCCATTTGTAGGGATTTTGTGCATCTCTCTCACTGGTTTGAAGCCCTTATTATCATGGGAATACCTCTCTGGAACTGTGTTTCTCGCATTACGCTGACCCCTACAATGTCATCAAGAACAAATTCTCAAGACTTGTTATATATACAACAAACCATAGCAAGAATATTCTCAAGAGTTTGGCTAATAAATACCTAGGTGAATGAACATGGTCAGGGTCAGGTAGATGAAACGTAGAAGAAGGTGCACGAGGAGGGACAAGCGTATTGGTGATAGGTCTTTGAGCTGTTCTTGAAGAGTGAACTTTGCCTTTAGAAATGACATAAATGGAACAAAACTCAGGCGTTGATTTGAGAACGGAAGATGCAACGTCATGTGACTTAGTGAATTTGAGAGATCTTGCAAATGGACTCTTTGAGGATGATCCCAACACAAGGTTGGTCACAAGGTTATTGTTCACGTAATCCAAAACTGCTTTCGCAACGTCGGTATCGTCTAGAATAACCTCAATCATTGAAATCTAAACAATGGCAAGACAAAAGAAACAATTACTAAGGCTTTTGTAGCATATCAAGTTTCGAGGAAATGCTTGAATGAGAAAGTATACCCCTTTCCGTGCACAATAACCTCTGTATGGAACAAAAAGCTGGTTTAATTCATTATCATCAATGTTTCCTCCATCTGCAACAACATTTCTTAATTCATCCAATTTAGAAGATGCGATTTGTGTATGATTAGAGAAAAAAAAAAGATGAGGAGAAGATACCTACGATTAGAATTTTTTAGACGAACATGGACAAGAATCATCTTGGCATTATTGACCATATTGAAGAGATGATCGACGGCCCAACGAACAGCGTAGTGACTGTTCTTGTCTTTGTCAATGGCGACCACCGTCGAGTTCACTAGCGTGTGGCCATCGTCCGATGGGTGAGGACGAGCCATTATCGATTTATATTGAAATTAATATCAGGTGTTACCAGACACCTTTAGTTGTGTCTGGGAACAAGAAGAGAGGAGAGAAGAAGAAGAAGAAGAAGAAGAAGAAGAAGAAGATAGAAGAAGATTATTGTGAAAGGTTTCTTCTTCTGGTCTTAACTTTTTCTCTCCTCTCTTCTTCCTGTTTCAATGTTTTGTTGTCGCTCCCGAACACGATTAACTAACTTTTTTTTTCCCTTTGAGCAAAGTCAGAGAAAAAAGCGGGAGTCGAGATTTATATCAACCATTGTTTTTTAAATTGCTTTTTTTAAGGAGATTCTCTATTTCTTCATCTTTTTTTTTTTTTTTTTTTGTGGGTTTTCTTTTTAACAAGCGATGGTTTTTTCTAGAATATATTACATGCAAATCTTTTTTTACCCTTTATTTTATATACGGATTATCTTCTAGATTTCAGGTTTGGATTGATTTGATACAAGTAATTTGAGATAACATGTGTATGCTTTTCCCAAAAATTAGGTCACACTAAACGGATAAATCACCAAAAGACATAACCCAAATTTAAAATAGGAAGTTAAAAACCATTTATATAAGAGAAAAACCCCGAAAAAACCGCCATCTATTTTTTTTTTGGCCGTTTAATACGCGTGTTATTAAAGTTGGAATAAAAATATCTCATTTAGTTTCGGTTGCCTTTTAAAACCTTCATTTTAAAAAAATTGGTAAAATCGTACCTCCGAGTTAACGACCGTTAACTTTGCTAACGGAAGCACTAACTGCGGTTAAAACTTAACCCATGATATTTAAGAGTATATATACAATCTCTTTTGACAACTTTACGAATTGATTGATCTAGTCAGGTGGTTTAGTGCGGGAAAGCTGTCTAATTGAACCCGGGTTTGAGTCCCCCTTTTGTTTTTATACGTTTTTTTAATTTTTTCTTTAATTTTTTTTTTTTCAACTTTTTTGCTCACTGAGATGCGAAGGTTGTGCAGCCTAGATCTACTGATTTCTCAATTGTGAAGATTGGAAGATCCTAATCCAAGATTTTCTCAATTCAATCTCCGACGCGAAACAACTTCTCCCTCCGTCAGTGAATGGTGGCGCACAGCTTCTCTTTACGCAGATCAAACCGAATCCATGTATTGATCGATTGTTGTAGAAGAAGATGAAGAAGGCTCTGCAGATTTCGATGGGTGGGAGATTTTGTTGTAGAAGAAGATGAGGAAGACACAGAAGAAGGAGAAAAAAAAATTAAAGAAAGAGAAGAGGAAGATACAGAAGAAGGAGAAAAAAAAAAACGTCAAAAGAAGGAAGAGGTATTCGAACCCATGTTTAATTGGACAGTGTACAAGCATTTAACCACCTGACTAAGTCAATCTATTCATAAAGTTATGAAAAGAGATTGTATATAGATACTCTGAAACACCATGGGTTAAGTTTTAACCGCAGTTAGTGCTTCCGTTAGCAAAATTAACGGTCGTTAATTCGAAGGTACGATTTTACCAATTTTTTTAAAATGAAGGTTTTAAAAGGCAACTGAAACTAAATGAGGTATTTTTATTCCAACTTTAATAACACGCGTATTAAACGGCAAAAAAAAATAGATGGCGGTTTTTTCGGGTTTTTCCCATTTATATAATTTGGTTCTAAGATATTATCATTACACTATCTCGCATGTCGGTTTGCATCTGATGGGTGGGTCCGAAAAGAAAAGAAGTGGCTCTTATAGGGTGACTCGCACGCTGAGTAAGAGCACCTCCAATGGGAGGTTCTCTTCTAAATTTAGATGAGTTCTCATCTGATTTTGGGAAAAAAATAATTCAGAACTGAATTAAGATGAGAGAATCGATTCTCTTGAGAGAAGTTTGAGAATTTGAGAGAATCGGACACGTGTCAGTGTTCTATTGGAGGGAGAGTTATAACAAAAGAAAAAAAAACACTCATTTTTTTAGTTTGTGTCGCGACAAAAAAAAACACTTTGTCTCTCGATTTGGCGATTGCGAAAAACTGATGAACACCTCAAAATCATCGCGATTCCGATGATTCGACGCCGGAATCGTGGTTTGTTTCTTTTACCTGCCGCCGGAATCATCAGCTGGATTCACGGTAAAGACCATCGGCGAATGGAGTGAAAACAAATCGAAGATTGGCAATGGAGAAGAAGGATTCGTTGAAGGATGGTCCAATTTCTTGTTCCAGGTATGAATCTAGCCCCTTTCCCATGTGTTTCGTGACTTAATTCGTTTAAGGAGACAACAATGGCGACGGGAAGAACGGTTAAGGATGTCTAGACCGCACGAGTTCGTCAAGGCTATGGGATGATGATCTTTAGTCGATTTTATCTGTGGACAATGAGTTAACAAGTAGATTAAGAGAAACTAAAGTGGCAATATAGAACATCCGAAATTGGTTGAAGTTATCTCAGAGTTAGTTAACACTTTGAATGTTGGTGATAGATGTTCTAATTAGAATGGGAATCAATAGCAGTTCTCTAGGCTTTAGTGTATCAATATGTTTTGGTTTTCTTCTGCGAGGTACAACAAAGAAATTGAGAAAGGTGGTGATAGATGATGAGAGACAAGTTTAAGGAAGAGGGTGATAGATGAAGATTTGCAATTTTGGCTTGAATTTTACTTCTCAATCTTTGTCGCTGTATTAGTATACCGACACCAAGTTATAGACATTTAGTAGTGACTGTTTTGTATTCATGTTAAAGCTAGTGTAAAGTTATAGACCTTAACTGATCACATGACACATCACAATTTGATCAACCATAGTTGTGGTAGAGGTAGATTTTGAGCTTTTGGCTAATTATTATGTAAAGTTTTGAGCTTTTGATTGTGGGCTTGTGTTTCTTGTTAGTAATTCGGTTTTCTCTGCTGATTTGTGTTTGATTTTGATGGTAATGGTAGATTTTCGTGTAGAATAGGAGTGGTTTTTGCTACTTGTTCTGCAATCATCTCTTAATGTTTGTATTTGTTGCAGATGGAGCCTTTACCAAGTGGAAACCTTCCTCCTGGTTTTGATCCGACTACTTGATGTAGTGTGTGAGTGTGTTTTGATTGCAATAATCTTTTTTTTTCTTAAAAATCCCACTAGAGAACCTACCATTGGACACAAAAAAATCAAAAAAAAAATCAAAGGTTCTCATCTAACACTTTCTCAAAATTTATAATAAAAAATTTGAGAGAGCTCATGGAGAGAACTCCCCCATTGGAGATGCTCTAAAGAGCCACTAGACAAACCAGTGACGGTACCATAAAGACTAGGAATAAGACGACATGTGTGTCGTTTTCTACTGAATTAGCATCCAAACATGTTATTTTTCTAAGCAACAACATAGCACAAAAGTGTAAAAACCAACCTTTTTGTTGGCTGCCTCATCTCACATTCCACACCAGAGAATGAAACTCTCATTGAGCTATTATATACTCATCAAAAGAGACTGGAGATAAATGTGTAGTATGTATATATAATTTAAGTTTCTTCTATTGCCTCATATAACATCTGTGGTCTAAAGGTACAATCATACATTATGCATAAACCAAAGAATCAAAGTAAGTTTAGTTTTTATCATATAGAAAGAAACTAAAAGAACATTTCCATTATCCTCTATAGGAAAGAAGTACCCGCCAGGCCGTGATGTAATAGATTATGTGAGATAGTATCTCTTGCCTTCATCGCATTAACCGATCTCAAAGCGTTTTCAGGCAAAACCTCATCATCAATCACTTCAACCATCAGCTCTGGATCCATCTTCTCCTCTCTCATCTCACATATGTTGTGAAGAACACAACAAGCACCCAAAACCGTAGGCAAATCCTGCAGCTTCACTTCAGTCCGTTTCTGCAGGCAAGCCCACCGCCCTTTCAACCTCCCAAACGCATCCTTAGCCACTCTCTGCACTTCACTCATCTTCTCATTGAACGCGTGCTGCGTCCATGTCAAGTTCTGTTGCGTATATGGAACCAAAACCCAGTCCAATAGCGGGTGACCGGGTCCACCAGCGACCCACATCCCCTTCAACAAACCTCCATTGTTAGCTCTCTGGTACAACAATGACTTCTCTAACACCTGATCATCCGGCATTGACCCGGGCCATCCAATGCACAAGTCAGTAAAAACCCCTTTCGGATTCACAACGGCTTGAATTGTAATGGAATACGAAGTCTTCTGGTTCCTCTCAGTATGCCTCTTATTGAAATAAGCAGCTACACTAATCTTAGGAGCTATAATCGGAATGTGAGTAGTATACATAGAGCCAACAACGTTTGGAATACCCGAAATCGATTCGAATCGTTCTCTAATGTTCCTAAGAGATTCATCATCTGGCCATTGAAGGTACTTAGGCATTAAAACATCTTTAATGGCTTTACATACCTCAAGAACAAGCTTGTGGCAAGTTGAGATTCCTAAACCAAATTTCTTGGAGACAAGACGAAGTGGCTCACCAGTGGCTAATCTCCATATACAAACCGCGACTCGCTGCCGCACTGGAATCGCGTTTCTCAACGCGGTGTCTTCTTTCGCAACCGCTGAATTAAGCTCATCGCAGATTAACTCAAACGTCGATTTCGACATTCTAAACGCTTTTTTGAAATCTTCTTCTGGATAATCCAATCGGCTACACTCTTCCCACCAAGCTCTGCTCCGATCTTTAACCCATAACCGCCTTTGCTGACCCGAACCGGTACCCGTACCGCGAACCGAACCGGATCCGGTTATCTCACTGCTCTCCGCCTCAATCTCCGAAGCAGCAACAGCAACGGAAGCGACGGCGCGTGAGACGCGTGACTTCTTCAGATTGATATCTCCACTTTCCTCAGCATCAGCGTAGTAATCGCTGAGATCGGAGTAGTAATCGGACATAGTTCTCGCTCTTTTCCGGTAATTAGATTGAAAATCAGACATTTCACGGCGAGAAGCAGCGTTACGAGCTTCCTGGTCTTGCTTCTCGTGCTCCTCCATCAAAAGCAAAGAAGTGAAAAATCCCTTGAGGTTTTTGGTTTCGTTGTTTCTCTTAGACTCTACCTCGCCGCCGTCGAAAACATTACAGACTTCTTCTTCTTCTTCCTCGTCTCCGTCTTCGTTCCCAAAAACGGCGGCTTTCATCGAAGTTGAGTTGTTTCACGTTTTGTCTATTGAATTTGGAGTGGAGGAGAAGGTTAATTTTTTTGAGGGTTCATAAATAAGAAATCTGAAGAGATTTTTGGGGATGAGAAGACGAAACTTGTGGGACGAGTGTGAACACGCAAGTTGACTTTAGTAGAGAGCTATATACTCTTTTTTCTTGTTTCTTGTTATTTATTACTCGTTTTTATTCTGGTTACATTCTTTAGTATTTTTTGGACAAAAATTTGGACAGCAGTACAGAAAAAGCAGAACCTGTTTGATCCTTGTAATAGATTCGTATGTGATAACTTTTTTTTGAAATTAAACTATGTCGGAAAATATTAGGCTAAATATCGAATAATTTCTTTGGATCATTATCATACTACTCTCTAACTGAATAAATTGGAATCTGAAAAGTTAAACAGGTGAATACTGAATACTAACTAATTTCGAATCTGATTCTTAGAATCGTGATCGTGAGCAAACCAAATTCTTAATTTGCTTGCTGCTTTTATTCAAAGCAATTTATTGGCTGACATTTACTGTTTCCTTGTCACTATTTTAAGCATGTCTATTTAGAAGTACAAACTTATCAATTTTAGTATGTTGTAGTTTTCTTAGAAACATTTCTTCATATATCTCAGAATGGTTAATTTGATTCGAATGCTAAGTTGCTGAGAATGTTTTGGACGCACTCTTAACTTTCTCATTTTTCACAAAATCCAAATGATAGCGAGCAAAATGTTTAAGGTGGAGATTAGAATAACAACAACAAAATTAGATATAAGAAAAATGAACTCGACTAATTAAATAGTGGGTTATAGATTTGAACTATTTATCGATGGAATACACATAACATGCGAATGAAGTGAAGTGGTAAAATTTCAATAATAATCGGAAGATTTCGAGGCGAAACTCAAGACCAATTATTCCTAAGTTCAGGTGAATATTTTCAAAGATATGTAGATAGTAATATTGGAGAAGTTATGTTAAAATGCAAATAGTTTGTGATACTTTTGTTGGCAAAATCCCATTTTGATACTTGATATTGAGAGATGAACAAGACCTAGAACGATACACGTACGTATGATTCTCTTTCTTAGTTAACCGGTTTGGGAAAATATGAGTTCCATTTCCACCACTCTTTTATTTTATTTTATTTTTATCATTGTCAACATATTGTTGTAAACGTTGTTTGTTATACACTTGTGGAGAGTGGGTGTTCACACACATATCTTATATACGAACCCAATAATATTATTATAAAATAAGATCTCAAATGATTGTACCTAGAAACTGAAAGAAAGAAGTGTGAACACGTCAAGGAAGTATCGGACATTGTTTAGTCTAATGTATTTGGCGGTGTGGAACGTTAGGTGGCCGATGGTGACTTTTGGTCCCATGCTTTGTTTCTTTTTTCTTTTTCCTTTTTGTGTTTACTTGAGTTGCCAAATGAAGAAGGCATTTAGGGGATCTAGTAATATTTTTATAACTTACATTAGTGGCCTCTTTCATCCTCGCCTAGATTCATGTTGTTTTCTTGTTTAATCAGAAAATCAAAGGTCTAAATAAAAACTAATCTTAATTTACAACTAGAATAGTGTGAATTCACATTAATCCTCTTCAACATAACCAAACATGCAATACAAAAACTATTTATAGGGTGAATAGAGAATAGTTTGGTTAAAGAAAAAAATGGTCTATGTTGCTTTTTTTAAAGGCCTCTCAAGTTTATTGGAAAACTTTTCAAATGAGAAGGCCAAGTTTGTATCATACTGATATACAACATAATAATCTCTTTATAGAGATGATCAATCTTTATTCACGCATTGAACCATCATATCTAATCAATTAAGTGATATAAAAATTATAGTAGAATTGAATCCAGTGCAGTTGAAATAAAACTTTGCAAGTATTTAGTTTAGTGATAAAAATTAGTAGAAAATATATCACTACATTCGATTATTGGAGTACTTTGGATAAAAGTAGTTTTTATGTGAAAACAAAGAGAAGAGCTTTCAGGCCATCAGAAAATTCACGAGAAGCAGCACAGCTGGTACAGTCATCTTGAAAGAGTCACACCAATATTCTAGCAAAAAAAACAACAACTGGTTAACAAGTTTGAACGTTTTTGAAAAAAAAAAATTATCCATAAAGTAGGCGACACACAGAGTACATAGGGCACAAAGACTGATTCCTCGAAGACCTTTCTTGCTTTTGATAAATGATTAATCAATAAAATTCATAGCAAAACATGATATAAACATTTAGAACGAGGTATATGAGAAATCTGATGAAACTAAGATGCAAATTTCATTTAAACATGATAAAAACATTCTCAGATGCAAGTTTCATCTAAACAATAATGTTCATCGATAAGACTAAGATGTCAGATTTAATCTTATTACAAATGTAGTAGCTGAAGATTTATTTACATTGTGTCCAAGACAGCTTTTTTAACAAAAAATACAGGAATTGTTTGGAACTTAAAATCATAATAACAGCAAAATAAATCACTCATTTCCTTATCAAAACAATTAGAAACATAAAACTGAATACACATGTTTAGTGTTCTTGGAGATATTAAACTATTTCACTGAACAGAGATTCATAAATTACTGTAAGGGCCTAACTCCAAATGTATTTTTGTTTACTGTATAGATAATGGTGAGCAAATTTGGATTAGATGGCTAAAGGCTAACCAGATGTGCTGGAATCAGCAGAAGAAAATTATCACCAAAAAAGATGAACAATAACAGTAACAAGTTATGCAAAACAGAGGACTGACCAATTGGTCTTTTCTCAATCTGTCACTTGGTTATAAAACTATATCCTTTTAGTCAAATTCAATTAGACAGTTTCAAAGTGAACCGTCACTAGTATACAATGTAGCCCAAGATGACGATGTAGTCAATCATTAGTCATTTCATTTGCTTCTGATTATGTGAGTGATTAGTAAAATATAGTAGTAGTAAGTTTTCTATTTTCGCATCTAGGTCAATAGACGTCTCCAGAACTTTTCTATGGAAGGTTCTTATAACAACTTCATTAATTTGAAGATCCAACATACAGAACAAACTTTTATTTCATCATAATTAGAACAGAACACCCATCTCTCTCACACATTCCGATTACATTCATCAAACCCAGAAATTAAAAAACAGATAATAACCAAAACACGATCACAAACAAACTCAAGCAACTTGAACTTGAATTGTCTTTGGTTTCTTTGGCTCAGGAGGAGGAAGTTTCTGAACAGTAACCTTTAAAACACCATCGTGACAAACAGCAGAGATCTTGTCCAAATCTGCATTCTCAGGCAACTGAAACTTCCTCATAAACTTACCCATTCTTCTCTCCATCCTCACATACTTCACACCTTCGTTCTCTTTGTTCTCTCTCTGCCTCTCTCCACTCACCACAAGCACATTGTCGTTCTCGACCTGAACCTTGATCTCATCTCCTTTGATTCCAGGCATGTCCACAACGAAAGCGTATGCGTTCGGGTGCTCGATGACGTCAGCTGGTGTAGCAGCCATTGCCTTTGCGTCTCGCATGTAAACTCTTGAAGGGTTGTTTCTGGTCTTCTCGTTGTGATCTTCAGGGACTTCGAGCATGTCTTCGAGGATTGAGATTATTGGAAACCTTCCCAAATCCATTGTTAAGTTGTTGTTTTAGCTTTCTTGATTCTCTCGATCCTTGGCTTTTTGTTTTCTTTGATTGATTTCGGAGTGAGAGTGTGGGATTTAAATAGGAGTGTGTTGGATATTTCTAGAGGAATGCAGAGAGAGCGATTGTTTCTGTCTTTAGAAGTTCTTTCGTATTGTTCCAGAAACGTCTTGATCGTTCTGGTTTTTGTGAACTTTATTTATAATTCGCTTTTGATAAACGTGGGCCGTCTCATAACTTTACTGATTTTATTATAGCTATATGGGCTTTTAATTAGGAGTACCAAGGCCCATTCCTTTTCAGTTTTCCGAAATTTTTGCTGTTTTTGTAAGTAACTCAAAATAAAGTTGAGTGATTTTTGTTGTTGTAACATCTTCTATATATTTATTAGGAAGAATTTGAATTACAAAAATAAAGTTCATGATCATAAGAAGAATTTGAATTATAATTTTTCTTTTTCTTGATCAATAATTTCATAGCAAAACATTTAAAATTTTAAAACGAGGTATATAAGAAAAGAATAATAGGTAAAGAACAGATTTTGCGATTATCCGAACCATATTTGCTGATTTTAAAGAATACTAGATTTTAACCCGCGGTACACCGCGGGGCTATATTTTCTTAAAAAAATCAAAATGTAATTTGTTTGATAGATTATTTTGATTGTTAATTTTAGGATTTCACCCGTGGTATACGATCTTTTATAAATATCAACCCAAACCCGTCCCATCATATTACCCGTCCCGTGAAATTAAACATTATTTAGTTATTTTTCTTTTTAATAATACTTTTATTTAAAAGCTATATAATTCAAGTCAATTTAAAAATTTCTTTTAAATGGTTCCCATAAGATATATATACATATATATTAAATTTGTATAGAGTTGAAATAATATTAATATTACAAATTTTTTATATAATTTAAATATTATAAATATTTTTAAAAATATGTAATATATATTTTTTGTTATTGTATAAGAGGATATTATGTGTAAGAAATGTAGAAAATAAGAGTTTAATATTTTTATTATGGAGTCGCAAAAAAAATCTTTTATTTCTATACATGTTATTCATTTATTAATAATAAAAGAAAACAAATCCTTTAAATTAGATATTAACTAAAATAAACGCACCATAATTACTTATTAAGTAACAACCAATAAATTTCACCAAAAAATAGGTAACAACCAATAAATTCTAAACGCAGTAATTAAAAAATGAGATATTAAAAAAAAAATATCAAATAAGATATAAGAATCTTAAAATAATTGAAAATCTAAATAATTTAATTGTTAGTGTCGATTTTAATGCCTTCATTAATGTGGATTTTTTTTTTTACAGAGAAATATTTCCTAAAGATTATCACATTAATGACTCAGAAAATTAAGGAAGATATGAATTTATGATTCTCGAAATCGTATTGGTAATATCTTTAAGTAATATTTTTCAAATTTAAATAATTAATGCCAATGGCATTCATCCGTAAATAAGGTCCAACTCCAGGATTTATTTGCTAAAAGTCATTCAAAAATGTATATATAGATGAGTATAACATGTATCTCAAGATCATAAGTTCAAAGTCTTGATGATGGAAACAAGACTAAATTAGAACCTGGTTTTTGATCAGACAAAATTAAGAACTAATGATACATTAATATTTTGGTAAACAAAGAAAAACATGTGGTAGCACTGACTCACTGTATACCACAAAATCGAGAATAATGGTAATTGAACATAAGCTATTTAAGAAGGTTAGAAATCTGCACAAAACTAAATCGTCTCCAAAATTCGGTTGATGTTATTTGCATTCGTAAATTCAAATTTCATCGAAACAATAGTGTGCATCTATAGAATTGAGACTGATTTCATATTGTACTATACAAAGAGTTGTTTCGATTTTGAAAACATATAAAGAACAAAATAGAACAATTGTTTCCTTTATCTGAACACTTACCAGGATAAAATTGAATATGTAGTTAAGAGTTCTTGCAGATCTAATATAATTACACTATTCCAATGAACATATTCATAATTTACTTCACGGATAAGGGTAATGGCGAATGTGCTAAATAGCAACAAAGATATACTGGGGAAATGATGAATCTGCAAAAACAGAGGAATGACCAATCGGTCTGCTTTTGGTTTATGTTTCTATGTGTGCCTCATAAGAATAGGTGGTTCGGGAATTTTAAAATCAGAGATTCTTACGAAAACTTCATTGATTTGAAGATCGAAGAAAGACAAAGATGAACAGAGAAAAAAACTTCTATTTTATCAAAATAAAAAAAAACTCTTATTTCATCTTACATTCATTAAAAAACGGAAACTAAAACACATGACACGATCACAAACAAACTCAAGCGACTTGAACTTGTATAGTCTTTGGTTTCTTAGGCTCAGGAGGAGGAAGTTTCTGAACAGTCACTTTCAACACACCGTCATGACAAGCAGCAGAGATCTTGTCCAAGTCCGCATTCTCAGGCAACTGAAACTTCCTCATAAACTTCCCCATCCTCCTCTCCATCCTCACAAACTTCACACCTTCGTTCTCTTTGCTCTCTCTCTGTCTTTTTCCACTCACCACAAGAACGTTCTCGCTCTCAATCTGAACCTGAATCTCATCTCCTTTGATTCCAGGCATGTCCACGACGAAGACATACGCGTCAGGGTGCTCAATGACGTCAGCTGGTGTAGCAGCCATTGCCTTAGCGTCTCGCATGTAAGCTCTTGAAGGGTTGTTACGGGTCTTCTCGGTTTGTTCTTCAGGGACTTCGAGCATGTCTTCGAGGATTGAGAATATTGGAAACCTTCCAAAATCCATCTTTAGTTGTTGTGTTAGCTTTCTTGATTCTTTGCTTTTCTTTTGGTTTGATTGATTTTGATGTGAGAAACTGTGAGATTTATATAGGAGCGAAGTTTGGATATTTCTAGAGGTTTGTAGAGAGAGCGATTGTTTCGGTGTTTAGAACTTTTAGAAGCGGTTCCCTATTGTTCGAGAAACGTCTTGATCGTTTGGATAAGTGATGGATATTTCTAGAGGAATGTAGAGAAAGTGATTGTTTCGGTCTGGCCCTTTTCTGTTTTGGATTTAGTAAGGAAGTTAATTTATACGGTTTGGTTCGATTTCTTTCGAATTTAGTGTGTAAAATTGATTGGTTAATGATCATACGAAGAAGAAAAAAACGGTTGAAACGCAGACGCAGAGGCTTCATGACTCATGGCTTTTGTGAAGGTGAAGTATCATTATCATCTACCTAACTGATCATCGGACTAAAGTGAAATGAAGTCAGCAATTTCATCGTCACTCTTCTTCAATTCCAAGAATCTTTTAAACCCTAATCCCCTTTCTCGCTTCATCTCTCTCAAATCTAACTTCCTCCCTAAACTATCTCCGAGATCCATCACTAAATCTCCATCTTCGTCAACCTCAGCTTTAAGATCCATCTCCTCCTCAATGGCTTCCTCTTTCCAACCCGAACAAGCTAGAGTTCCATCTGCTCTTCCTCTCCCAGCTCCTCCGTTGACTAAAGTAAGCTCCTTTATTCAATTACCTTGAATAAAGTAAGCTCCTTTATTCAATTATCTTTTAACCCCAGCTCTGGGGTTTTCGATCATTTCAGCATTTGATTGATCTTTTTTCGTTTCGTTGGTAACATTGTAGTTCAACATCGGATTGTGTCAGCTATCTGTGACGTCTGACAAAAAGAGAAACATCTCTCACGCTAAAAAGGCCATTGAAGAAGCTGCTTCCAAAGGAGCTAAGCTTGTTCTCTTACCCGTCAGTTTTTTCTTCTTCTTAAGCTTAAGCTTGTTCTCTAAGCATAGTGATATTGTCTCAATGGGGTTTTATAACCATTCAATGGATTTGTTTCAGGAGATTTGGAACAGTCCGTATTCCAATGATAGTTTTCCAGTTTATGCGGAGGACATTGATGCAGGTGGTGATGCTTCTCCTTCAACGGCAATGCTTTCTGAAGTTTCTAAACGTCTCAGGATTACAATCATTGGTGGCTCTATACCAGAAAGAGTTGGTGATCGTTTGTATAACACTTGCTGCGTCTTTGGTTCCGATGGAGAGCTCAAAGCTAAGCATCGGAAGGTTAGATTTTTTTGAGATTTAACTTTCATTTCAAACTTCCATTGAAAAAAGAATGAACTTTCCTGTGCTTTAGGCCATAGAATTAAAAGATGCTAATCTCACTTCTAAGATCTTTGTTCAGCTTTTATCATCAGTTTGCAGGATCTAATAGACTTAATCAGTAATTAGAATGATTTGTTAGTTATGTTCATGCTTATATTATCAGTTCTCTGAACATCTTCTTCTTGATTGCTTGCACTTAATTGTGTTTTGTACTTGTGCCTACAGATACATTTATTTGATATAGACATTCCCGGGAAGATTACTTTTATGGAATCCAAAACTCTTACTGCTGGAGAGACACCAACAATCGTTGACACAGGTTATAATCTGGTTTTGCCAAATATCTTTGCCAAGCTATGCATAAACAATCATGTATCTTACAGAAACTCATTGTCTAAAAAATAATTGGAGTAGGATTAAGGATTTATATCTCCAATCAGATTTGGGATCTTCTTATCTTAACAGTGAAATGATTCATTTTCATGTCGGCCTAGTGCTTATGAATGATCATGCAGAAGAGAACTTGTTCACCAATAATATTAATACGCTTCTAAGATCTTGCCAACTATTTTGACTGGGGAAATATCATTATTGAACAATCAGGTCATAGTAGGACCGTTCACATCACCTCTCACTTTCTAGTACTTAAGAGAAATCTCTAACGCGGTGCAGTGCTTGAGAATGGTAGTTTTGTTGGTTGTTGCAGATGTAGGGCGTATTGGAATAGGCATCTGTTATGATATCAGGTTCCAGGAGTTAGCTATGATATATGCTGCAAGAGGTGAGTCTTTATAGTATAATGCTTTTATCCAAATGGACAATTTGCTTCCTTTCTTTTTCGGGTCCATTATCGTTTTAAAGAACCTCATCACCCACATGTTTAATTTAATCATATCAGGGGCTCATTTGCTGTGCTACCCGGGAGCCTTTAACATGACAACTGGACCATTGCATTGGGAATTACTACAAAGGGCCAGGTGTGATTCACAGTCTGCTACATTACAACTTGCTTGGCTTATTTAATCATGGGTAAATCACAATGCTCATCGATCTGTTTTGTTCCATTTCAGGGCTACGGATAATCAGGTACATGAACCAAGTTAAAATACTTGTATTGATAGCTAAAAGAGAGATACAAGTTCTCAGACATTTCTTAATGAATTCATAGAAAACCTGCATTTCCCTTTGAGTTATCAATACAAGTATTATCTTCTGCTCTTTGGGAGTTTTACTGTATTGACTGTTATCAAAGTCATGGAGCAGTTAATAGAACTATGTATGCTACTTTCTCCAGTTGTATGTGGCGACATGCTCACCTGCCAGAGGTTCAGGAGCTGGCTACACTGCTTGGGGGCACTCAACACTCGTCGGGCCTGTATGCACTAAACTTTTTGTGTGTTACTTGATTGATAATGAAGCTTTTAGTTGAGCACTAAACTCTAAAACATAAATATTTTTGACAGTTTGGAGAAGTACTAGCGACAACTGAGCATGAGGAGGACATAATCATAGCAGAAATTGATTACTCTGTCCTTGAACAACGAAGGTAATCACGGAAACACCGGAACTTTCCTGGTTTTTGATTTATCCCGCCATTGATAGCATGATCCGCTAACTGAATCTCGCTTTTACCATCTTAGGACAAGCCTTCCATTGAATAAGCAGCGGCGGGGAGATCTTTACCAGCTTGTAGACGTACAGCGCTTGAATTCTAAATGAACGGAGGAGGAGTAACTGTACATCTGTATTCTCTATTTCTGAGAGATTGTCTTTAGATTGTGTGAGCTGAGCACGATTTGGTTACTTACAACTTCATGATCAGTTATTTCCCCACAACTTTGCTAAGATACAAGAATAAAACTATCTTTGAGATAAAATCGAACAAAACAAGTTAATTCTGCTTAAGATAATGTGAACTCCACCCACTTGCCATGTGTTGGTTGTTTATAAACTTCAATGCATTCTGATCATAATGTGGACTTGTGATTCGCAATCAAAATAGCATTTGACATCAAAATATATACTATTTGTGAGTTTCTAAGTAAATGTCATTGTCTTTGTAAAACAACTCATATGTTCATTCCACAACCATCATATTCAATCTCAAGTACTTAAACTAAAATTGTAGTAACTGGTTCTTCAAATGTTCATCTACGCGAAAAACGTTTCATGATTGATAACATGGCTCTCAAGTCAAGCCAAAGATCTAACTAATGTGTTTGTTTTGCTACATCAAGATTTGTAATATGCATTATGCAATGTAATTTGTACAGATAAGAAGAAGAAAAGAGTATAGAGTATTCAAATAGATTCCTCCAACACCACAAGTGGATATAAAAAGATTGAAAATGAAATAACATAAAAACTTTTGTCAGCGGCCTCTACATGATGTGAAGATCCGTGGTTATTGTTGAATGATAAATGACCGGACGACAAAATGCAGTTACAACAGCACAAGCCTTACAAGATTCACCACAGTGTGTAGTGGTTTCTTCTTTGGAGAAGACACGTGGCCCAATCCCCCATAGGGTAAAGAGTAAAGACGTAGAGTGGTCCATACTTCTCACAAGGACTCTGCGAAAGAAGGAATGCCGTACGCGTGTGGGAGGCCGCACGTGCTAGGGGCCCATATGGCCATGGGCTATGCTTCACGTGCCAGGTCACGTGTAGGACCAAACCTCACCACAGTTCGGTACCATCGCGTGAATCTTCTCTCTTTTTTGTGTCAGCTCTTATTGTCTCTCCCTGACCAGCTCAATCTCTGACTCGCCCGTGCGATATTATTTCCTTTTTTTTTTCTGTTTCTTGCTCATATCTCAATAACTCAAATAGTTATATCCATTTTTAAGATTCACTTCCATTTTATATCATTTTGTAACCTTTTTTTTTTTATAATGCAACCTCACTTTAGCGAACATCACCTTACAGTTTATATTGCTTTTACTTTATAGTTGATATTTTTCTTAAACATACAAATAGTAATTAGCGTTATGTTTGTATGATGTGTAAATGATATATTATTATTATTTTAAAGAAGGAAACACAAAGATTTTTGGTTTTCACAACAATCAAAAAAGAAGTCATTTTTATGTAAGTTTCTGTTTTGTACTATATATCTTGTTTGTTTTCTTAAAACTGTTTTGTATTGTTATATTTAGGTAAAAGTATGGTCCAAACTAGAAACAATATTTACGGGGGATTCTTCGAAACTGGATATGCTAAGGAGATTTTTTCTCTTTTCTTTTTTTGTCAAAGGATATGATAAGGAGATATCAAACGAAAAACATTGGCCGAAGTGTGACACAGATATAGAATAGACACACAAGAAGACATAAGTGTTTTTCATTAACAAAAGAAAAACAAAAGAAAAAAGAAGACATAAGTGTTTATGAAATGAGGAACAATGAAGGAACAAGAAAGGAAGGAAGCATGTGAGACTGAAAAAGACGCAAAACAAGTACAATTCCTTAACCGGTCCTTGTCGACCCAACTAATGTGTAATGCGGTGTAAGAGACACTTTGCTTATATTTAAACAATATTAATCGTTTGATTAATTAGGACCCTACTTGTTTCTGATCACACCCTTTTCCTAAACCTATATACGCTCGAGATCTGTCTAAACAATATGAGACAATCCGTTATGATATGGCTACATCAAGAATTCGGCGAATCCTTAAGAAACAATTGTTGATGTTATTTTTCGTAAAATAGATGATTTTGTTTCATTGATCCAATGCGATTTTCTTAGTGTCTTTTTTTAGAGATTAAATTAGTGTTACTATTATTTCTGTTTATGGCGTATTGCGTAAATCATCCATCTCCAATTGTGTCCAATTTACGTATTTTAATGATTACCTCATCATAAAGAATCAAGAAACAACTTCTGAGATACATTCTATAAGACAATGTTGAGATATAATATTCTACATAAAATCATTAGTTCCTAACATTATGAGGAAAATGACATATAAATTGGACAACATATTATTAGGTACATGCACACATAAACAAAATTGAAGAATCCTCTTGCGTGGTCCATCATCGACATGGTCAGCAATCAGCATACGTGAACAACACGCGCAGAGGTCGCAGCTTATATATAAGTCCTCTCTCTTCCTCTCTTCTATCTTCATTCGTCGCCTTCTTCTGCAAAAAAAACACAAAACACAAAACAGTTAAGAGACATAATCTCTCTTTTTCTTCTTTTGTCTCTTCTTCTTCTCATTCTTCTTTAATCCTCTTTATCGATCAAATCATGCATAAATCCAAAAGAAACCCGTCATTCTCCTCCACTCTCCTCGATGAAATCTACAATTCCATCGATCCTAAAACCCACAAAACACAATCTTTTGTCGGTTCTGTTAACACTACTACCAAAAAACAGAGCATTGTCACAAGATCGGTCCCTGACCGGAAAATCCATCGTGATCGGTTCTTCGGCTCTGTATCTTCTTCCTCTGATTCCAACTCTAGTATTTTCTCATCTTCCGACACCGAACTAACTCACATTAAGAAGACAACTTCTTCTAGGCCGTTATGTTTCGGTCCTTCGAAGACAAAACCAAGAAAAACAGAGGACAAAACTCTGTTCCACCAAAACAGAGCAACCCGGGTGTACGACGACTACAATTACGCCTCCGACGTCCCAAAATGCACAAGAAACGACGAGAATTGGGAGAATCCGAGAAACAGAAGATCTGTGAAGAGCTCCGGAAACCAAAAGAAGCCAAAAACTCCAGCTTCACCAGCAGGAAGAATCGTTAACTTCATAAATTCGTTGTTCAGCAACAACTCAAAACAATCCAATGCGGTTAAGAGTTATCCAAGGAAGACGAGTTACGACGATTCTGCTTTCGTTAGGAAAACAAGTAATGATTATCATTCATCCACTACTACGTGTTCTTCAGCTTCTTCTTTCTCAAGATCTTGTATGAACAAAGGCTACGATAAATCATCTGATCGTATCAAACGAAGCGTTAGGTTTTCTCCGGTCAATGTTATCGTCCCCGAGAGCTTTACAAGCAAAGAAGAAGATTATTTCAATAATGGTAACACAAGAAAGTCGGTGAAGAAGAATGTGGAAGATGGAGGGAGGAAATCAGTGGAGGAAATAGCGAGAGAGTTTTTGAGAGATTATCACAAGAATCATGAAAACAGTTTGGTCAAGAATAATGGTTTTGAGGATTATGAAGATGATGAAGAAGAAGATGATGATGATGATGATGATGATGTTGCAAGTGATTCGAGTTCGGATTTGTTTGAGCTGGATTTAGTTGGAAGTCATCATCATAATGTGTACGGAGATGAACTTCCTGTGTATGAAACTACTTTTGCTGGTTTGATCTTGTGAAACTTTTTTTCTTTTCTCCCTTTTTTTTGTTTACTTTAGATTTTCGTTTAATAAGTTTTATTAATCCATGTGATTGTTGAAAAAAGAAAAAGAAATCGCATGTGATTCTCTACATTTGTGTTTGATTTTGTAACTATGTTGTGTTATAAATTTTGTGTTTGTAAAAATATGATCCAATCATGTTTTCATAAGATCAGTTTAGCTGTCAATTGTTCTGTTTATTAGTAATTTTTTTATATAATCAAAAACATTAATCCATACAAAGTTGAATAAAAATGTATTATACAGTTAACACATCCAAAAAACAAAAAAACTCTTTGTTAAAAACAGTTACACTAATCTAAGCACAAATTGAATGTTCAATGTAAAGCATAAATGTTATAGGTGAACAGAATATAATGTTTAACACAAACGCAAAGGCTAGATGCAAGCTTAAGCACAAAAACAAAAGAGTGAAGACTAAACAAAAGCTCTTAATAAAATCCGCAAACATAAATATAATAGGTTTTCAAAGCTAAAACCCAAAATACAAAAGTATTTTTCTTAATTACAATCAAAATGAAATTTCTTATCAAATGTATTTTTTTTACTCATGTACTATTTTAGACTCAAGCAACTCTTGCAACTTAACTATTCGATTCGTGATTTCTTTTGATGCAAATTATCAGTATCGAAACATTCGTATTGAGATTGAAAAAACTTTAAGTGACATCCCAACTTGACATCTAAATATTGAAACAAATTGAGCATACATAGATTTTTGAAAATAATGATGTTGAGAAGGATCCGATCGGTGCAAAGTAAAATGATTTGCGGAAGATAATTTGATATAAAGTGGTTGATGATCCCAAAGGAAAAAAAACCCAAGCTACCAACCTTTCTCTTTTTCTATGTATCTATCACATGCTTTAGATCCAAATTTTCATGAATGCTAACACTTTTTCAATATAATTTGAGTTTTTCATTTCTTTATACATTTAATATTAACAAACGCTCATAATTTTTTTGATTTAGGCTTGTACGGTGAAATGGAAATTTAGGGCACCACAGCCACAAAATCAACTATACTTGGTCACAACTATACAAGCACAAATATGATGTGCACAAATATGATGTGCATATAGCAGCAAAACAGTGTTTCAAAAATCATATTTTCTCTCCAATAAATTGAAAAACACGCTACTACATTGGTCCAGCAAGTATTTCATGTAGAATGTACGTTTGTCTCGCTTTTCTTGAAAAAAAAAACTATCTTTAAAATAGTTATGTATTATTTTTTACCGGTCTGTAGAATTTCACCAAAACAACTGTCTTGAAAATTTTTACATGCATATGTACATGTGAAAGTAACACATGCATGTTGTATACTTATATTTATCTTATAATATAATAAAGCGTATTAAGTAATAAAACATCGAATCGATGATATGTGAAAGTTTTTTGTTGTGTATAAAAAGAAAAGAAAGATGGGAAATCAAGAAATTCGATATCCAAATGAGAAGCAAAGGGTGATTGATGAGGATCGTGAATGGACACATTAAAGCTTAATAAAATCGAAAATAAATTTAAAAAAAAAAAGGAAAAGGGTAATTTTAAAATAAAGTGAAAGTAGTATTTGTAGCGATGGATGAACATGAAGTACTGATGCTTCCACGGGAACAGAGAAAGTCGAGAGCTTTTGCTTTACTTCTCTTTTTTAATTTTCACTTTGATCATCTTTAAAAGTTCCGATTACAATCTTCTCCATTACTTCTCGACAATAAAAACCAATTTACATAAAACAAATATATTTTACACGAACGGTCTCACGTACACATGACCCATTTTCAGTTCCATGTCAAGTCATTTTTTTTTTTTTTTGGTTTAAAATTGTTGTAGGTTGATACCTTTTAGTTTAATATTGCTTTGCAATGTTAGCTTAATCATTTAGTTTTGATTCTAGAGGATATTTTTGCTTATATCAAACTAAAGTGTATTATCTTAGATTCGAAAATTTTGCTGCTGTGAGCAAGTTTTAATTAGGGGCATAATTTTATAGCTATAACCAGACTTCTAAATACATGCCTCTTTATAGAATATAGGCGAACAATTCAATATTTCACACCCCAAAGGCCCAAAACATGCATGTCTATTTGCCTTTAATAGTACTTATTTTGCTTGCTCCTGTTAATATTCCTTGACTTTAATTCTATAATTGAAATTACTGTAAATTTATAATTGAGATTAATATTGTAAGAGGAGACTTATCAAAATAAATAGTTATATGGTTGCTTTTTATATCATCACAAATGCTACTTTTTCCTATTCAACCACTTAAACAAAATGAATAGTTCGATGAATATATCATTGCGTATTTCTATTTAATAATGCGGCGGATTAAATTATTCCGTCAAGAAAGCTTAATTATTGCTTGTTACCAAAATCAACAACTTAAGTATATTTAACGAAGTAGATGATTTAATCAAAGATCGTGCCATGTATTTGCACACAACAATACTCCCTCAAACTCCTAATGATTGCACATAATACGTACGTAATGAATTCAAAGTAAATTATGTCGTATTAGGATAATTGGATGAGGATTACGCGAATAATACATATACACATATTGCATAGGTTTCACATGTGACATGTCGGGGATGTAACCGTTCTTGTTTTTTTAAAGTTTTTTGTATTTCTCTGAAATATAAGTTACCAACTAATTTTATTGAAAGCTGATTGTTTAGTTTGGTCAATTGTGGCAATTAAAATATAGTGCATAGCATAGTAGGTTGGTTAGAATATATAGCTCGTTAATCTAAAGTATATACATATTTTGATTACTTACGAGTTTGTTGGTTTGGATCGAACAACCTTATATTTAAATAGAGTAATTAAATGCGTAGCTAATAATGTTCTGTAAGTGAATAGCACGATATGGTTTTGTTGTAGGACCAAAGCGTCTTATCTCTTTGAGCATGTAAATGAAGTCAAAAGAAAACATTATTACTCTACTAACTTAATACGTAACCAGTAATCACGTCAAATCGAAAATGCCAAACTAAAGAATAAAATTGTGTGGCCCAATGGGCTCAGTATAATGCTATAGAGATTTTGCATGGCCCATATTTCACTGAATCCTAAATATGTCTCCAGCTGCTGTATCGCGGCCTCTGATAGTTCTAATTTTCTTTTGTTTCTCGAAAAAGTTAGTTTTCATATTTTTTGTTGAAAATGCCATGAAAATTAGTCAATTATTTTAGTTACATTTGATGTTGGTATGACTGACTAACGCTAAAGTATTCAAATTTGTATGTTAGTTTTAACAGTTTTAATATTTTACTGTACCTAGCGTCGGTTTTCGAAAGTGACTTAAACATAAAGTCAAATTCTTAACGTGACCTTATTAAGTAAATGACGTTATCATATACTCCCTCTGTTTCACAAAGAGTGTCATTTTAGAGTTTTGCACAAAGATTAAGAAAACATTAAATTTTTTGTTTTTTCTAAACAAAAACATCATTAACTATATACCTAAACATAATCTGCCCAATAGTAAAACAATCTGCAGAATACTAATAGTCATAAAACATAAAAAAATCATTAAATTTTGCATTGAAAACCTAAAACGACACTCTTTGTGAAACAAAAATAAAATCTTAAAACGACACTCTTTATGAAACGGAGGGAGTATAAGCTAGTTCTAAACTGATGTTAGACTTAATAAAAATAGACGTAAATCCCTTCTTTTTTTTGTAGAATGATGTCGTTATGTGACTATACGATGTTGCCGATCAAAACGTAAGTCTTAATTGGTTGGTAAATTGGTTTTATATAGCCAATAACACTTTCTTCGTTCCAAAAAATCCGATGATGCCTTATCAGTTATCAGTAATTTCCTTTAACTTAGCAAAAATTTGATACAAATCTCAATTTATGAGATTACAGGTCGTTGGTCAATTTAGTTTCTTTTAATTTAGCATATTACCATATATACAATGTTTTTTCTCTTCGTAAATCGAATTCGAAGGTTTCTTCTTTTTTTCGATCATACTAAAAGCCATACAACAACAGTTTATATATATATGAATTGGGGCAAGTAAACAAACAAACTAATTTTATTTTTATAGCTAGATTTATTGGCAACACAACAAATTCTTATCTTGGATTTCCATTCCAATCATAACATATATCAAATGCATGATCACTTTCATTAAACCTGCACGGCCCATCTTTGGTTATATCCCATATACAATAGATGCATGGAATACCCCTACGAACACCATCTCTGTCATCATCGTAAATGTTAAACCTTTTTGATTGTCCAGGCCATGTGAAATGACAAGAGAAAATTGTCGATCCAACAATAATAGTTGGTCTAAACTTAAACGACCAAGAGCTATTCGGAGCGAGGATTTTGAGGCCAAGATCGTCATCTGAGGACTTGCAATGAAGGTTTAAGGTCGAACCATCTCCAAGGCGGTTTGTGATCCTCACCATTGTTTTTATAGTAGACCAATTAACATCAAAATCGGTTTTCACTTGTGAGAAAGCTATTTGGATGAGTAGAGATATTACAACCACATGAACTTGTGTTTTTAGGATGTTTGTCATTTTCATTTTATAAGATCAAAAAGTGTTTTCTACTGAATACTTTTTGTTTTGATTTGCATAAGTATATATAGGCGAAGTCTTCGCTGAGATCGTCCATGACGTTATTAGAATTGTTTCCAAAATGGTTAACCTTGACTACATTGTACATATTGAAACAAAATTAAGGAAACTTTTGACTAGAATATCAAGATTTATCCATTATTGTTACAAAAATAAAAATAAAAAACTATTTTGGGCTATTCTTAGATCTTGAACAGAATACTATATTAATCTTTTTGTATCTTGAAAGAGTTAATAGTTAGTTATAAAACATCTATAAGTTATTTGTATTCCTCGGAAGCCTCCGCCCACATCTCCATTCAGGATTTTTCCGTTGAACAAAAATTAAATAAAATAGAACGGTTAGTTTATCAGAATTAATTATGTTGGAATCATAATATTTTATTAATTTTAAGTGATTTTAATTTATCTATTAGTTAATATTTAATATATAACATAATTTAATATTTATTAATATATAAAGATATTTTTTTTACACTAAACTTTTATAAAAATATGAATTTGAGATAATTTTATCTATCTAAAATTATTGTTTTCGATATTATACATTTTGTAGTTTTGAACTTAAAATTTTAATATTTAGAAGAAAAAATTCTTTCGATAATAAATTAAAAAGATTTTAGAAGAATTCACTTATATAAACGATATTAGTAAATTAAAATTTATGATTAATAACCTCAATTGTTGTATTTAAACAGATATACGACTATCGAAATGAAATGATATTCGTACAAACACTATAATTTAAAATACAACATAACAATTGTTTTATACAAAAAAAGGTAGAGACGAGCTCTAAAGTAAATTGAATTTAATAAAAAAACACTAAAAGCATACATTATTATAACAACTTATAATATATATATTTATGATACCTTATTAAGTTATAAGTGACGTTATTATATTTAAGTCAGTTCTAATGATGTTAGACTTAATTAAAACTGACGTTACATCACTTCTTTTTTTTGTAGAATGATGTCATTACGATGCTACCGATCAAAAGCTAAGTCTTAATTGGTTTTATAACCATACATTCAATAACACTTTCTTCAATTTAGTATCCCTTTAACTTAGCAAAAAATTGATACAAATCTCAATTTACGAAATTACAGGTCGTTGGTCAATTTAGTTTCCTTTAATTTAGCACAGTACCATACAATGTTTCTTCTCGTCGTAAATCGAATTCGAAGGTTTGTTGTTTGTGTATAGTTCATACTAAAAGTCATACAACAACAGTTGAAAACAAAAAACAAACAAACGAATTTCATTCTTATCGTTATCCTGGCAACACAACAAATTATGATCTTCGATTTCCATTCCAGTCATAACAAATATTAAATGCATCATCTCTTTCACTAAACCTGCATGGCCCATTTTTGCTTATATCCCAGATACAGTAGATGCATGGAATACCCTTACGAACACCATCTCTGTCATCATCGTAAATGTTAAACCATTTTGATTGTCCAGGCCATGTGAAATGACAAGAGAAAAGTGTCACTCCAAAAATAATATTTGGTCTAAACTTAAACGACCAAGAACCATTCGGAGCGAGGATTTGGAGGCCCAGATCGTCATCTGAGGACTTACAATGAAGGTTTAAGGTCGAACCATCACCAAGGCGGTTTGTGATCCTCACCATTGATTTTATAGTAGACCAATTAAGATCAAAATCGTTTTTCGCTTGTGATGAGAAAGCTATTTGGATGAGTAGAGATATTACCACCACATGAACTTGTGTTTTTAGGATAATGCTTGTCATTTTCTTTTAAGATCGAAAGTGTTTCTACTTTTGTTTTTGATTTGCATTAGTATATATAAGAAGTCTTAGATGAGAATGCCCGTGACGTTATTAGATTTAATTTGTTTCCAAAATGGTTGACTACATTGTATTGAAACAAAATTAAGAAAAGTTATAACGATGATGGTAGAATGTCAATATTTATCCACTGTTAAAAAAAAAAAAATACTATTTTTAAATTGGGCTATTCTTAGCTCTTGAACAGAATTTTATATTAATCTTCTTGTATCTTTAAAGAGTTGTTAATTAGTTACATTTAGAAGGTATAAAAGGGCCTTAATCCACCATGCTTCGGATACAAGAATATTAATCTAATTTTGTTTAACATCTACAATTAGCTCATAACTTTTAATAAAAAAATGTATACATATTGATATTCTTACCATAGTTATTGCGACAGATTTATTTTTTTCATATATAAAATTTACAACGACTTAACATACTTTTTTCTTATTTTGTAACAAAATCGTAGCATAGCGTAACAAATTTTTCCGGCATATTTCTATACACGCAGGACTTAATTTATAGTTCTCGCATATCCGAACGTTTTGTTTTTTTTTTTTTTTTCAAGTCGAAGACTTCTTTTTTTATTTCTCCGTTTTTTGAAGTATATTTTGTAGAAACTATATTATTTTTAGAGAGAATATAAAAATAAAGAAAACAATTTATTCTAATTAATTCCAACCATAACATAGGTCACACTGTCAAAGAGACATTGGTCTTTCTTCATAGTAATTATTATGTCGCAATAATATCAAAATATTGACACATATTTATATATATTAAGCAAAAAGACCCAATGATCATGAAATATAAAATCCAATCATATCATGACATATCAATTTTGCCAGATTTTGCATTTATTCAGTTTTTCAATTATCCATAGAATGCCTGATTTTGTAAAACCCATAAAAGTTGAACTTGGGATAAATTGATTTCATCTTCTACTCTAAAAGCCTAAAACAAAACAGTACCGCGTGGAAGCCCCCTTGGCCCATTGGTTGACCAAGGGTTGATTAATGCTTCTACACCAAAAGGTCTGGGGTTCGAGTCCCAGGTATTGCGATTTATTAACAAATTTGCAGATTAATGGAGGCAAGTGTGCAAGAGATCTCCAGCGATGTACAATTATAGCCGTTCGCCAGGATTCTACGCAGAGAAGGAAGTGTCGCCAGGTCGTGGATCATTGAAGGTATTCATCAAGATTACGAAGAAGGAAGTGTAGTCTGTCGTGAATCTAGTAAGGGTCGGAAGGAATTGTCAGTTGTAGAATCGTCTATGTAACAGTTCTCATAATTTGCAATTAATAATAAATCTATACTACAAAAAAAAAAAAAAAAACAGTACCGCAAAGTTTGGTAATAAAATCTTAAAGTAACGGTTTAGAAAAAACACCAAACCGGTTATAAATTGGTTTTCAATTCTTCTTGGTGAGATTAACTTCTTGAGGAAGGAGAGTGTAGTCGATGTGAAGGTCCTCCAAGATTCTCTTAATGTTCAAAACAAGTTCGGTTCTTCTGAGATTCCTCTCTCTGTTTTCCTGAAACGTGATGGTGTGGTCACTGTATAGGGCCATCTTCAGCTTGTTCATGTTCTCTATCTCCTTCACCACCACCGTGTGAACCGGTGCCCAATGCTGCGGGTTTTGCTCCAAGTACCTGATCCACAAACAAAAGAAACTCATTCAAAGACAAGATCTTTAGGCTCAGTGGTTAACAAAACAGTTTCAAATGATTCAAGGTACTTACTCGGCGATTCTTTCTTTGAGATGTGCGATCTTGGAGACTGGTGTCGAGAATGAGATAGAGAATTCCACTGTTTCTCCCATATCCGGACTTCTGAAGTAATTGCTTATGGGTTTTGTGGCCAAAACAGCGTTCGGATAATACACTTTCTCGTTGTTTAGCTTCAAGAACACCGTCGTTAACAGATTCATTTCTTCAACCAGCATCTGAAAACCCCCGCAAGAATGTGTTTGTATAGAATATAAAAAAAATATAATATACGAGTTTAAAGGATCTTTGGTGTTGAAGTTTACCACTACACCGTCGACAACACATCGATCACCTACATCATAAGGATGCATAACGAAGACAAACACAATTGATTCAAAGAGATTTTTGCATGTGCTTCCGATTATAAAAGCCAGAGCCACGAGTTGGGTAGAGAAGAACAACAAAACCTTAGTCGTTGCTAATTCTAGAAGCAGTAGCCAAATGACAACGGTAATCACAACCAAGATTGCTGTCACAAGTTTGTTTAACTGCTTAACCGCTGTTTTTGTGTCATTTAACGAATGCGCTAAAGCTCTCCGGCTCGTGTACACTTTAACCTGATCAAATTGAACCACAACACAAGTCGTTAAATTCAACAAAACACAGACTCTCATAATCTCATTAGTAAAATCACAGAAATAATATTCTTGAAAACTGAGGAGAGTTACCACCCATTCTGTGAAAGCTTTTCTTGTGATTTTCCCGGTCTCGGCAGCACCATCAAACAATGGGAACACAAGATCAACCTCTTCCTTAATCATGAACCTAAGTAAGTCCTCTTCCTCTATGTAACTGAAAAATTTACCAAATCCAAGATTTCCATCAGAGAATGCAAATAAACAAGAGAAGGAAAAAAAGAAGAAGAAGAGCAAATCAATATTGTTTTCTTACTTGAAGAAAGGCTGAGCAACATTCCTGAATACATGGTAAGCAGCAGCCAAAGCCTCCATCTCACTAGTAATTTCTCTATCAGCTTGCTCTTTCCCCTCACCGTATGTTGTTTCGTCCAATGTGTCAGAGATTGTAGAGAGACCTGAAGTTCTAACAGCTTCTACCAAAACCCGCATTGTCCAAGCAGAAACTTTCTCTCGCTTCATCTTATGAACTTTCCCCATATCAATCACTTTCTTTTCTTTAACCGTTCCTTTTTTCACTACACTAGCAAAACTCAAATGGCCGGTGCTTGGCTCACGCCCAACCCTTTCTGCCTCTTCGATAAGTGGAGGACCCGAGAGCGTTTGTAGAACATACTGGTGGAAAACAGAATCTTGAATCCTGTCGAAAAAGTTATTGACGTTGAAATTTGCTGCAAGGATTTTCAACAACAATGTTTTCACCAGCCAAAGGAATGACCCCGTAAGAACGGAAATAAGAGTCCTGGTTATGACGTTGAGGATTTTTGTAGCTGCCTGGGACCGTTTCACATCGCGGTTGAACAACAATATCCAAGCAACAAGAATCAAGCAGAGCCATATGAAGACTTGGACGCTCTTCTTCAAGCCGTGCACAAAGTAGAGCACTTTTCTCCTCAAAAGGAAGTTTGTTTCTATGAGGAACACAACCAAACGCATGAACCAATTGGTCACCAACATTCCACTGAATATAACCATGACAAGCACACACCATTTCCAGACTTCTAGTCCCCAGATGGTGTGATTTTTCAGGACATTAATGGTTAAACTCGCAACCAAAGCGCTCAAAATCACCACAAAGAAAGCTGACTCTATCAAAGCCAATGTACTTATCTTACTGCGCATCTCTTTGTTCAGCTTAACCTTCTTGTAGATTTCCTCATCTTCATCTTTCTCCACAACGGCTTTACTTGGAGTTAACGGTGCTGTTGACCCGACACTCCTATTCGATTTGTTATTCGGAGAAGATCTACTAAAAGAAAAACCAGTACCAAGTTGCTCCCTAACTTCCTCCTCTAGAACAGTTGTGTCTACAGGACAAGATGGATCCACAAACCGGGACTTGGGTTTTGAGTAAACCGACCTTGCAAAAGATTTCCTCTGAGTTAAACCCTCATTGTTCCGATTTGGAGCTCTAGGAGGCTTGTTAGGACTACCAACAAGCTTAGAGATTTCAGGAGAAGGGCTTTTACTGATGGGCACTCCTTTCTCAGACTCTGGTGAAGCCATTTCCATGGAACGCTTTGATGCTTCCTCTCCTGAAACATTGATAACAACTTCTCCTCCTCCTCCGTTACTACTCTTTTGTTCTGCCATTTCAATGCTACTAGCGTCCAATTTCACAACAATGGCTCTGAAAAATTCCACAAAAACAAGATTAAGAACACAGTGGGGATGATAAAGTACCAATCTTTTTAGCTTGACTGAGATAAAGCAATAAGATTCTGATTCATCAGACAAAAAGGGTTTAAGAAACTTTAGTTTATTAAAGTAAACAAAGTGGAATCTAAACCCTAGATTCCTTAAGCATAGATTTGTAACAAAGCAAATAGATTTTACACAGGAAGAGTTTAACAGATACCATTCTCTAATCCTACTAAATCTGTAAGAAAGATCCAAACTTTACAAATAAAGTAATCGGAACTTCTCCAGAAGAAAAAAACAAGAAACCTAATTAAAAATTACAATCAAAAGAGGGAGAAACCGAGCTTACCAGTAGTGAAAATCCAAAGAAAACTTCTTCTTCTGTGAGTATCAGCTCATTCTTGAATAAGAAGAAGAAGACCTGAAATATAGCCAAAGAACAAAAAAAACAGAGATCTTAGGAGATAGTAGTACACACCACGACCACTTAAGAATTATGAAAAATGGAAGAATTCAAACATTTGATAAATGATAAAGAAGAAATCCGATAAATGATAATACCAGTAGCAGCTTAAAAACAGAGGCGGTGGGGAAAAAGTGCCTGAGAAAAATGGCTTAAACCCTGAAGCCAACAACAACCTAAAGCCAAATATATAGAAAACAAAACATGGAAAGAGGAAATAAAAGAAAGATCTTACATGAACAAAAACATTAAGGCGGGTCCAAAGAGTAAAGAGATGTCAAGAGTCAAGACTTTTAAAGCCAAAAAATAATAATTGGTAAATGTAATTGACATACTTTTTAAATTGAAGATGGCTTGATGGTGGAGTAGTTTAGTTTAATCGACCTTTAAAATTCGAAAATTATTAGAATAATTGCTAAACTTTTAACTTTTCTCGTCAACAGAAAGATTACTAGTAATTTTATATTAGTAAGTTGGATATAATTATGAAACAAAATGTATTGGGGAAATGTTCACACAAAACGTTGGTATAAAAAAATCGGTAATTAACTCCTATGTACTCTCTGACAAAAAAACACTGACTGTCTTAAAATGTTGTACAATTTTTTTTTGTTAAAAATAAACTGTACTTATATACTACTTACTATACTTACATCCAAAATTTTCAAATTTTCAAATTTAAATGTACACGAAATTCAATTAAGTTCAGATACCAGTGCAAAATGAATCAAATATAAAATCAGTTATTAACTGGATCCTTGTTTGAAAAATCGCTAGGCGCTAGTCGGGCGCTCGGAATGGGCCTAGCGATTAATCGGAAAATCGGATTAAAATCGGGGATTAACCGAGGATTAGTTTTAGGGTTATTTTAATATTTTTAAAATATATTAATCCAATATTGTAAAAATTTATGATTTTTATTACAAATTTATGATTTTTATTAAAATTTGAACACAAGTTATTGTAAAACATCACAAACTCCCTATTCAAATGATTGAATAACAAAAATGAAAGGTTTTTTTATACTTGCAATCTAAAAAATAATCGGGGTATATAAGATTAGGTGGAAAATAATCGGATTAGGCGGGAAGTAATCGGATTAGGCGGAGAATAATCGGGTTACTGATTTTTTAGGGGATTAGTCATTAATCGAGGCGGATAGGGTAGGCCTAGCGATTAAGCGGGGAGTAATCGGGGCTAGGCGGGGATTTTTAGAACAGGGAACTGGATTGATAAACTAAAAAATTGGAAACTTGTTAAAAATTGAAATACTACATTTGTTTTTGGGTTAAACACACGTAACAAAGAGAAAATGATTTTTTCGTTTGACTAGTGACCACTGACCATACCACTCTCTGTCTCCATCGATTCCATTATGTTTATGTCGTTTGCCTTTTTTTTTTTTTTTTTTTCATCATCGTTTGCCTTTTTTTTCAACTCCATAAATAAGACCCAAACCCAAGAACAGGGCCAGGAACATGTCTTGAGCAAGAACTAAACCCAAGAACTAAACGCACTATTCCCATTATTTCTTAATTTTAAATTACTAAGATCACACCAACTGTTTTGGCGTTGCATATGCCCTAATGTCTCGTTGCTAAAACGATCTGTGTTTTTAATAATTCCGTCAATTAATAATGCCTGAGCATGTTTGGCGTGTCTAACTGGTGATTGCTCAGCTCTCTCATGTCATGGATTAAACAATTGTCCACAGTACATTACATTACTGTATTTTGTTTTTTTGTTTTTTTTCTCTTTTTTTTTGGTTAGAAAACTTCTTAATTACAATAAAATTGTCTTAAATGCTACTTATTATCACTCGTTACCTAATTACATTAATCTGCATGATTGGCACAATGGCTGATTATTAATATCCGTCGTTGCAATGTGCCAAAAAAAAAAAAGAATCCAACAGACAATATTTACTTTAAACGGTAGAGAGGCAATGTAGATGACTAGATTCTGACCGTTGGAACCATCGCAGCATTGTTTTTCGAGATTGTAGTAACTAGACATAAAGAAAAAAGGAAATGCTAAGAAAGAAAAAAAAAAAAAAAAAAAAAAAGGAAATTGCAGCAAGAGAGGAAAATAAATAATTGAACCCAACCCATCAAAAATTTCCATTTTTTTTCTTAGTTCGCTGCAATTTCCTTTTTTCTTTTCTTTATATCGTTACAATCTCCTGCGATAGATCCAACGTTCAAGAATAATTTCCATTTTTTAGTACGGACTCAACTTTTAAAAAACCCTACTAAAACTCTATAAATATTTCATGTTTCTTCTCTCTTTCACTACAATTTCTTTTTTCCCCTCTTGCTGCAATTTTCTCTAAGCTTGTAATTAACTCAGTTCGTATCTGAAGAAACCATGGAGCAAAGTTCTGTTGTTGCAAAGATGCAATCAAACGAAGAGTTCGTCAAATTCTTAGGAAAAGGTGCTTACGGTTCGGTTGATCTCATCAAATACACTAAAACTGATGGATCCTCGTTTCTGGCCGCCGTAAAAACATCTTACGCTGAGATACTCGAAGATTACAACGCTCTCAAAAGAGAGATTCAGATTTTGTCTGAACTCAAAGGATATCCGAACATCGTTATATGTTATGAAGACGATTTGGAAGAAGGTTTCAACGATCACGGACATCAAGTTTACAAGTTGCTTCTCGAGTACGCAAACGAAGGGAGTCTACGTTCTTTCATGGAAAATTATACGGACAAAAAGTTACCAGATCCGATGATCAGAGACTTCACGCGTATGATTCTCGAAGGATTGGTCTCAATTCATAGTCACGGTTATGTTCATTGCGATCTCAAATCCGATAACCTTCTTATCTTCTCTCGGAAAGATGCTTCTTCGTACGAGTTGAAGATTTCTGATTTCGGAAACTGTAGAGAAGTCGGAGAAGTTCCGGATCACTGGGAAATTGATTTCCCGTTTGTGGGAACGCCTATTTACATGCCGCCTGAGTCTCTCATCGACGGTGCTGCCAAAAAAACCCTAGATTTGTGGTCGTTAGGGTGCTTAGTGTTGGAGATGTATACAGGTGAGAAGCCATGGGCAGGGGTTGGAATTGTCGATCTCGTGAATTTTCTCAGTGATGGTGAAGCTCCAGATATCCCTGAGTGTGTGCCTTGTGATGCAAGAGAGTTTATTGAAACGTGTTTCGCAAGGGAACATGAGAAGAGAGGAAACGCGTCTGAGTTGATGTTGCATCCGTTTTTGTGTCCTGAAGAGAAGACGGAGAAGATTGTTGTAGCCGTCGCTAAAGAAAAGAAAACCTTGCTGGTGAAGTTGAAGTTGAGAATCAAACGAGCTTCGAAGATAACAATGGATATTCGAGAGAAGCCCTTGAAATTGAAGATGTTTCCATCTAAGCCTACACAGCTTAAGAAACTTTTGAGTAAACTCTTGAGGTTGAAGAAGATGATTCATCCGAAACCATTGGATTCTAGTTTAGTTTCTTTCAGTAGTGATCTCTGTTTAGTTTAAGTGTGTAGATCACAAGTTACATGTTTATGCAAGTAACTCATCCATATCAATCTGTAATTTACGATATTCATTGTTGAGTTTTGTTTTGCTTTGAAGTTTTTTGTTTGGATAATTACGTATTTACATCTTTAACTAAGTTTCACTGTATGTTGTATACTTGTATACTTGTATATGCGATCCAATGTGCTTTGAATCGTTAAATTGATATGACGGTGAAATTTTTATTAGTTTACTCTCTCATTAGTGCATAAGCCAAACGTGACATTGACAACACAATAACCCCATACATACATGGCAGAGAGAACATTGCAATAGTGTGACAACAAGAAATCAAAAATGTATTAAGTTTCCTTAAACTTAATTAAACATAATCGAGCAATGAATTTTTGTAATTGATTTCAAACTTTCATTAATTTTCCGAATATTCGTTTTATTTAAAGGTTTTATTACGTAAAGATTTGGGTGTCTTTCAATTTTGCCGAGTTCTCCGGCAGCTCAACGATGGTGACTCGCTTAAGACTCGTTTCGAGATCTTCTCGTTACGCCACCGTCAAGTTCACTGAGTCTTTCTCAGCATCATGCTCATGTCGTCTCTTCTCAGCCTCCACCGACCCCGAATCCGAATCTCAACCCGCACAAGCCCCGCCTACGAATCCCGTCACCGGAGACGAAGAGCGACACGAAAAGCTAAGGAATCTCCGAGTTCTTCTCCAGCAGAATCGAATCGAAACGGCGCGTGGCGTTCTCTATTCGCTGCTTCGATCGGATTCTGCGCCGTTCACATCGCCGAAAGAACTCTTCTCTGCATTCTCGCTATCATCTCCGTCGTTGAAACACGATTTCTCCTACTTGCTTCTCTCCGTGCTACTAAACGAATCGAAGATGATTTCTGAAGCTGCGGATTTGTTCTTCGCTTTGAGGAATGAAGGTATTTTTCCCAGCTCAGATTCGTTAACGCTTTTGCTTGATCATCTTGTGAAGACAAAACAATTCAGAGTGACTATAAACGTATTTTTGAATATTCTGGAATCGGATTTTCGTCCGAGTAAGTTCATGTATGGGAAAGCAATTCAAGCTGCTGTCAAATTGAGCGATGTAGGTAAAGGTTTAGAGCTGTTTAATCGGATGAAGCACGATAGAATCTCTCCCACTGTGTTTATATACAATGTCCTTATTGATGGGTTATGTAAAGTGAGACAGATGAAAGATGCAGAACAGTTGTTCGACGAAATGCTTGCAAGAAGATTGTTGCCTTCTTTGATAACGTACAACACGTTGATCGACGGATATTGCAAAGATGGGAATCCGGAAAAGAGTTTTAAAGTGAGAGAACGTATGAAAGCGGATAATATCGAACCGAGTCTTATTACGTTTAATACTTTGCTTAAGGGACTGTTTAAAGCTGGAATGGTGGAAGATGCAGAGAATGTTTTGACGGAAATGAAGGATCAGGGGTTTGTACCAGATGCTTTCACCTTCAGTATTCTGTTTGATGGTTATTCGAGTAACGATAAAGCTGATGCTGCTTTGGGTGTTTATGAGACTGCGGTTGATTCTGGCCTGAAAATGAATGCTTATACTTGTAGCATATTGCTGAATGCGTTGTGCAAAGAGGGACAGATAGAGAAGGCGGAAGAGATTTTGGGGAGAGAGATGGCTAAGGGGCTTGTCCCGAATGAGGTTCTTTATAACACGATGATTGATGGATACTCTCGGAAAGGTGATCTAGTTGGAGCTCGGATGAAAATCGATGCCATGGAGAAACAAGGGATGAAGCCAGATCATTTGGCATACAATTGTTTGATTAGGACATTTTGTGAATTGGGGGATATGGAAAATGCTGAGCAAGAGGTTAACAAAATGAAACTGAAGGGAGTTTCTCCTAGCGTGGAGACATATAACATCCTGATTGGGGGCTATGGGAGAAAGTATGAATTTGATAAGTGCTTTGACCTTCTTAAAGAAATGGAAGACAACGGGACGATGCCGAATGTTGTTAGCTATGGAACTCTGATAAATTGTTTGTGCAAAGGTTCTAAACTTCTTGAAGCTCAGATTGTTAAGAGGGATATGGAAGACAGAGGGGTTTCACCGAATGTAAGGATATATAACATGCTAATCGATGGTTGTTGCTCAAAGGGGAAGATAGAAGACGCTTTCCGGTTCTCTGAGGAGATGTTCAAAAAGGGAATAGAATTAAATCTGGTGACTTATAACACCCTCATTGATGGGTTGTCCATGAACGGGAAATTAGCAGAAGCTGAAGACATGCTTCTAGAAATCTCAAGAAAGGGTCTCAAACCAGATGTATTCACGTATAACTCACTAATATCTGGATACAGATTTGCTGGAAACGTGCAAAGATGTATCGCGCTGTATGAAGAGATGAAGACATCAGGAATAAAACCCACTCTGAAGACATATCATCTTTTGATCAGTTTGTGCACCAAGGAGGGGATAGAGCTCACAAAGAAAATATTTGGAGAGATGTCGTTGCAACCAGACTTATTAGTTTACAATGGTGTTCTCCATTGCTACGCCGTACATGGAGATATGGATAAGGCTTTTAATTTGCAGAAGCAGATGATTGAAAAGAGTATTGGTTTGGATAAGACAACCTATAACAGCTTGATTCTGGGACAACTGAAGGTAGGAAAACTGTGTGAGGTTAGGAGTTTGATTGACGAGATGAAAGCCCGGGAAATGGAACCTGAAGCTGATACATATGACATAATAGTGAAGGGGCATTGTGAGATGAAGGATTATATGGGAGCATATGTTTGGTACAGAGAGATGCAAGAGAAAGGTTTGCTATTAGATGTTTGCATAGGCGATGAGCTAGTGAGTGGGCTTAAAGAAGAATGGAGGTCAAAGGAGGCAGAGAATGTCATTTCTGAAATGAATGGTCGCAAGCTAGGTGATGTAATAGTGGATGAGGATCTATCTGCAACAGAGAGAAGCTTTGAAAATCAAGAATGTGTGCTTCAAGATAAATACTTTTGACTCTGAGTTAGGCTTTAGGTTGTTGATTTGAATATTAACAATGGTCCATTTGTTCAAGTTTTTTTTCTTACGTGATTCAACTATTTTGTATCATATATTATGTGATATACACGATGCACACGTGACTACCACATTTAGAGAAAAAAGTATAAACACACAAAAATGAGTAGAGTTTTCAAACGTGTGAGTGGCACGGTGGGAGGGAAGACTCTAGAAAGGAAGGTGAGCCCCACAAAGTCACTAGAAGCATCTTCAAAGCATTTCCTCTGGTTTACACTATTTTAGAGTAAGCTCGTTCTTCTTTCTATAGAACCATAACTTGAGCATCAATGGCGGTTACATTTTCTGATCTGCACACAGAGCAAGGTCTCAAAACCCTCGAGGAACATCTCGCCGGAAAAACCTACATCTCCGGGTATACTCTCATATACAATTTGATATATTAGCTTGTGTTTCCAATGTTTCTACTCTGATTTGTTCATAATTTGTTTTCAGCGATCAGCTTTCATTAGATGATGTGAAGGTTTACGCTGCCGTATTGGAGAAGCCAGGCGATGGCTTCCCCAATGCTAGCAAGTGGTACGATTCCGTTGCTTCTCACCTCGCTAAAAGGTTCGTATAATTCTCATTCGTTTTTGCTTCCTTTTTGTTTCTTGTTGATCTTCGGAGAATGATGACTTCTTTGAATGTTTCAGTTTTCCCGGGAAAGCCGTCGGAGTGAGAGTTGGTAGTGGTGTTGCTCCATCTGAAGCTCCGCAGACTGAGGTATTAGAAGTAGTCAAATTTGGAATGACGCCAAAGATAATATGTTTGTAGAATTGAAACAATTCTGTGATAGTGTGAGAGACAGAGATTTAAGTAGAGGAAAATGCAATTGTGGAGCTGTTGGAATGATGATTTTAGATACTGTGATTTAGCTTTGTCCCTCAACTTATATCTGCAGGCACCTGCTGCTGCTGGAGCTGACGGTGATGTTGATGATGATGATGATGATGATATTGATCTTTTTGCTGATGAGACTGAAGATGAGAAAAAAGCTGCTGAGGAGAGAGAAGCTGCTAAGAAGGATACTAAGAAGACTAAAGAGAGTAAGTCTCTATCTAGTTTGGATTGGATCACTTTGGACTATTATAGTAGATTGTTAGTATCTTCTGCCAGAAAGATTGTATGCTTAACACTGAATTGAGATTTAGGTGGAAGTTCTGGCTTGCGATTTGAGCTGTGATGTATCTTGAGATCCTGCTGATTTTTGGTTACTTCTTACTCTTTGAACTTTTTTCATTAGGTGGAAAATCTTCTGTGCTACTCGACGTAAAGCCATGGGATGATGAAACCGATATGAAGAAGTTGGAAGAAGCTGTTCGTAGTGTTCAGATGCCGGGTCTTACATGGGGAGCTTGTAAGTCAAATCAATTCAATCTAAAATTTACATTTTGCAACAAAAAAAGCTTCAATTGTTTTGTTCTGATGTGAGTAATTTGTTGCAGCGAAATTGGTACCGGTTGGTTACGGGATAAAGAAACTCACAATCATGATGACAATCGTTGATGACCTTGTGTCTGTAGACAACCTCATAGAAGACCATCTCACCTCAGAGCCTAACAACGAGTACATCCAAAGTGTCGACATTGTCGCTTTTAACAAGATTTAGAGACTCCAAAACCCGTTCCACATGAAAAAGATGTTGAGTTTCAGTTTTGGTGTCAGTCTTGTTGTGTTTCTAATATGGTTTGATATGACGCTAAAGTCTCTTCTTCTAAGTTCCAAGACCAAACGTTGGAGTTGAAGCACATTAACTTCACTTGGTCTCTTGTAAGTTCTTGTCTAAGACAATTTGCTGTTATAATGGCCCTGTTCGTTTGCAAAGACGCTGCGACAGAGACCAGCGATTGAAAAAAGGCTTTATCTCTCTTTCATTTCCCTTTCATCTCCTCTGCATCTTCAATTCATCCTATCGCTACGACTCCAATTTCATGATTTCGGAGTCGCCGAAAATAACAGTGACACCACACTAATGCTTTATTATGAATCAGCGACTGTCGCCGGTGTCTTCTTCCTTGAATTCATGAGTCGCTCTCTTCTTTAAAAAGGTGTCGCCGGAGAGATCGCGCGACTCTCAAAAGAACAGGCCCAATATATATTATATGCTGGGCTTGGTCGGGTGTAGAAAAAAAAAATCAAGCGTCCAAAACATATTGCGGTTAAAAGGCTTAATATATTTGACCAGATTGACATACCAGACCCTTGTTTGCTGCGCTTTTTCTTACCCTCTTTACCTGATTAGAACTAGGCTATAACAGAAGAAAGCAAATGATGGTGTGATTTTTAGAAGCCTTTTGGTGCTCCATGTTAAATATGTGGGAGGATATAAAATATAAGGAAATTTGAAAGATCCATTCTGAGCAAACAAGCAAGAAACACTTGATAAAACCAGTAACCACAAACTCATATCATCCATCATCTCTCTCTCTCTCTCCTTTCATTTTTCTTTATTCTAGAAGAGCATTTTATCACCTTTAAAGCGAAGGAGGCACATACTGTCTAGACAAACTAAACAGATCTTTACCCTCAAAAGGCGATGTCCACTCTCTCCCATTTCCCACTAAAGCAGCTTCCTGCACTCCCATTGCCATGCCCATCCCATTCCCATTCGCCAATGTTCTTGTCCTTCCATTCATATGAGCTTCATATGGGGATGATGCTGCCACGTACTGTTGGCTTGGTCTTGGACAAGCTAGGCCTTTATCTAGACTCCAGTCGATGTTGTTGTAATCCAAATGCCCCAATGAACCATCCGCGTTCCAGTCCAGCCCAGAAGAAGATGATCCCGCCAATGATCCAAACCCCGAGAAGAGTCCAAGAGAAGCAGCTGGAGCCACAGCAAGCGGTGCAGAAGCTCCTGCCATTCTGTGACTGTTGTTGTTCACTTGACCTTGATATTGTTGATACTGAAGTTGCTGGTACATCAGGTTTGAATTCAGATCATTAGGAGGCAGACTTCTTGAGGGCAAGTATCCGTTAGATTGACCCGCCTCGGATCTATTTGCAGGGTACCAACCGCTGCCTGCTGCTGCTGCTGCTCCAGTAAAGGATGCATTCATGGTAGACACAGGTAGCACATTTGTGTTAGCGGATTGAGAGCGTTGTTGTTGTTGCTGCTGCTGCATCACCATAACTGGTTCCCTCATATCTTGCTGCTGAAGCCTCTTGTATTGATCACCTTGAGCCGCCACATAATGTGTTTCTTCTGTCGATCGCGACAGCGGTGTCTGTTGATATGGTATGCGTTTATTCTCTTCCACGGTGGCATTTTGTTGCAGTTTCATCCACTGCAACTTCATGTGAATTCTTTCCAACGAATTTACACTTTGGTTTTCGGATTCTCCATTAATGTAGCTGGATCCTCTGGGGTAACCAAGATTCTTTCTGTCAAGGGCTTCTTCACTGCCTGCAGGATACATACCTGAGTTAGGTTGTAACTGGGCTACTGTATTCTGACTTGTGAGCACAGAAGGGACTTTGCTACTGTTAACAGAAGTATTATCACTAATATCCTCTACTTTTCTAGACGCAGTAGATTGGTCTTGCTTCTGTCTTCTTAATGTTTCTTCTGCTTTCTCAATGTCCCCCTCTGCTGTAACCACAGCTCTTTCTACATCCTGCTTGGTGCACTTATATTTTGTTTCCAACTCCAAGATTCTACCCAACTCTTGTGATATGTCAAGCTTTAAGTTCCCAGAGGTAGGATCTAGTTTCTTATCTGCTACTTTAGCCCCACCATCATCAAACAGCCAATTAATAGATTCCTCTATTTTCCCTTCATTTAGCATAAGAGCGTAAGTTGCCCGCTCATGAGCAATCCCCATTGCTATAATCTGCTGAGCATGAACTTCAAGTTTTCTGGACATGAGATACTGACAGCATCGCTCATGCAACTCCTGAGCTCGCTTTTCCTTTTGACGTTGGTGCTTTCTTTCATTCTTCAGTCGCATCTTATCTCGCTTGTCATTGTCAGCTCCAGGAATGATTTCTTGTTTTGCAGCAGTACTAGGCACTTTCTCTTTGTGATCTTCAGAGTCACCTGACCAGCTACCATTATTAGAGACAGAATCACAGTCAGCTCCAGTTGAATCCGACTCATCAATATGTCTGAACCGGCCATTATTGTGAAGAGATGAGGAACCAGTTGCTGAAAGCGACTCAACGGTTTGAAATGTCCCCAAAAGTGGATTGTAAGCACCAACCACAACACCACTACTTGCACCCATGGATCCCGAGGCTTTACTAGGTGTCTTCTGTGAATCATTCATAACCTTCTTGTCTCTCGATTTGATCTTGGATGCGCTAGACATCTTCTCACAACAAAGTTATCCTACAGTTCTCATAAAAAACGAGAATAAGTCAATACAATAATCTTCTCTTAACAAAAACAATATTCTTGTTGAACATCAAAGACCAAAATGGTGATTTGAGCTGCAATGTCAAAGATGGTGATTCTTCAATGAGAAATGAAGGAACACAGATTTCACAGAGACGACTATTCTTACTACTACATCGTTGATATCACAAACGTATGGATCCATTGCAGAAACGAATCAGAAAATCAAAAACGAAACAACAATCTCCGGAGATCATTTCTGAATCGAATAAGGTCAAAACACAAATTCTCGGCGACAAAAGGAACATAGCAGTTGAAATCAAATCCATAACAAGAACAAGAAATCATTCCTGAGCAACGGAGGGACGAAATTCGAACGAATCAAGAAAACCTAAAGGCGAAAAAGGAAATGCGCGATTTGAAGAAGAAACCAAATCCAAGTAATAGATCAGTGATGGGACGGGAGAGGGGAAGAGAACCTGGTTGATCGGAGTCGTTGACGGAGAAGCGAGATCCGGAGAAAAGGAAGAAGAAGAAGAAGAAGGTGAGAGAGCTTAAGGCGATGAGGATGAGGAACGAGAGGAGTGCGATTATATGAATAATACCAAAAAAGAATAAACTCGGCGTTTCGAATCCCCAAATCGAAGTACCTATTGGTAAATTAGGGTTTGGTTTAGCAATATTATGATTTTTTTCCTTCTTTTCTTTTATTTTCTAACAAACAAACCGAATATGAGTAGCAAAAACCAAACCAATGTCTTCGTATTAATTTTTTAAAAATAATTCTGAGCCATTGATTTTTTTATTAGAATTTTTCAGGTTTTTTTTTCCAGTTGTCTTTGTTTTGGTTTCAGTTGTCAAAAAAACTGATTAATTAAACATTATAGATTTACATGGGTAGGACTCGGACACAAGTATCGTAGTTTTAGGATGATTTTGATAACACACACAACTAATAAGCTTTGTACAAATTTTAACAAACAATTAATAATTGGCTTTTCTGTTAAAAATAAATAATACTACGGTATAAAAAAGTAAAAATTACATAAAACTCTACTGAAAATAACGTCTTTGAATTACTTGGTGGTTTAATGAGACTTTTTGTAAGTGTCAAGAAAGTTCAATATTTCAAAGTCTCACATATGGTTTCAAAGACTTTTGGACAAATCATGATGTGTTTTTTTTTTTATTAATGAGTCATCATCGCCAAAATGCAAGTCATACTAATTAATTGGTTGTATCAAAAAGTCAAACCGAAAACTAATTGAAGAATAATCATATGTTTGATTAGAACCAAACTCAATCTAAAACTGTACCAAAGTATTTTCATAAATTACTTAAACATCTAAAAAACCGGAAAACTTAAACCGAAATCAATCAAACCAGCCAAAACGAAGGGTAACATCGTCTAATCAAAGAACGACAACGTTTTGAATGGTCTTCGCCGATTGATATAGTGGTCACTCGCGGTCTGTTTTTTGGATTTGACGCAAAACGCAATGAGCTTAGCTTCAGTTATCCACCACGGAATTTTTGCTCCGGCGAAATCGGATCGAATCTTTCTTACCATTCCGGTGGTTCCGCCGGATTTCCGAGCTCGTGGATGGACTGAGTCTCGTTTCTCTCTCGTTTCAGGTCCTCCTTCTCTCTTTCACACAATTGCATTTTCATTCGTGTTTATGGAAGGATTCATCTATCTGGGTCATGCTAATGTGATTTTGGTTTCAGCTGCGAATCGTCGTCTCTCTCATCTTCCTCCTATTGCTTGCTCCCGAGAAATCGATCAGGAAGATGATGTTTCTTCTTCAGGTGATTGCTTCTTCTCCAAAATTTTGTTCTTCACTTTAAATTGTTTGTAGTGATCTTCAGAAACTCATATTATGATCTTTATTTTGCTAGCAATACACAATTATATATAAAAGAGGAAGCTTTATCTTGTGACAATAATTTGTTTGTGGCATGTTAGTACAGAGAAGGAGAGCAGAGAACTTCTGCCACACAAAAACGATGAGAATGCAAGCTCTTCGTCATCAGTAGATAGTGGAGGCTTGAACGATTATCAACAAGAAGAAACATACAAAACTTCCTTCAAGACTGTTGCCTTGTGTGTTAGTATTCTCTTGCATCTGCTAATAATACTCTTTGCTCTACAAACGAAACCTAATGTCATATTTATCTCAATAGGTTGGCACTGCGGTGGCTTTTGGAATTGGAATAGGTTTGAAGGAAGGTGTTGGCAAGGCATCAGAGTTTTTCGCAGGGTCCGTAGAGCTTAGATCTGATATACAGATTTTTCACTTAACCCTTTAAGGATATATGTCCTATCTTAACTGTTTTCAACTCTTGCAGCTATATATTGGAGCAAAGCTTGTCAGTGGACAACTTGTTTGTTTTCGTTCTTGTTTTCAAGTACTTCAAAGTGCCACCCATGTATCAGGTGCCAAACTATCTCTACAGATATTTTGCTCTTGATTATAGAATATTCTAATTCTGTGTCCCTTTCTATAGAATAAGGTACTTACCTACGGTATAGCTGGTGCAATTGTCTTCCGTTTCACGCTCATATTACTGGGAACAGCTACTCTTCAGGTGATTTCTATGTTTACATCAAAATGCTGTTAGTGATTTTATTTGTTTATTTATTTCATTTTTCTTCCTCATTTAATTTTGAATTCTCCCTACTATCTTTCAGAAATTTGAAGCAGTCAATCTACTGCTTGCTGCTGTACTTCTTTATTCGTCTTTCAAGGTGCATGTTACCTCACCTTAGCATTTATACCTATAATTATACATAGTTATTGATATGGTATATAAAAGGTGCTCTGTCATTCAGTTTCTCTGTCCTCTATATGTTAATACAGTTATTTGCAAGTGAAGAAGATGATACAGATCTATCCGACAACTTCATTGTAAAGACATGCCAGAGATTTATTCCTGTCACATGTAATATACCCGGTCTTTTTCTCCTTGTTCCTGCTAGTTGCTTATGTTTGTTACCATCAAATTTTATTTTGACTGGATTATCCGTTGTTAGGCGTCAAGTTTTCCAGTGCTTATACTGTTTAGTATGCTTCCATAGCTGATTTATTCCTTCTTTCTTTTGTTTATAACTGCTGGCAGCAAGTTACGATGGAAACCGGTTTTTCACAAAGCATGATGGCATTTTGAAAGTAAGTAGATGACAAAAATTTCCTCCTATATATTCAAGGTTTATGTATAAGTCACTGTTAAGTCTTATTACATGTGGACTCCATGATCAAAATATTCATGATAGTACCTTTGATTGGGCTCTAATTTATTTCAACAATATTTGGGGCAGGCCACACCATTGCTACTTACAGTAGCAGTGATCGAGCTCAGTGACATAGCATTTGCGGTAACTTCCGACACCACTTTGTGAATCTGTTTTTGTCTCTTTAGAAATGAAGCAAATCACTGATACTGGTTGCCCATTTTCTTAGGTTGACTCGATACCAGCTGTTTTTGGCGTCACAAGGGATCCTTTTATTGTCTTGACCTCTAATCTCTTTGCAATCCTAGGTATATGTTGCCTAAACTTATTCTTGTTAACTTCTCGCCTGTCTCTTTTGAATGCTCTTGGAACTTTGAAACTGAATTTCAGTTGAAGATTTTTATTTACTTCCTCTGGTGTTTGAATTTGCTGCAGGACTAAGGTCTCTCTATACACTTATTTCTGAAGGAATGGACGAGCTAGAATACTTGCAGGTATCATTCAGCTACTCTGTTTCATGCTTGAACAAACACGAGTCATTAGCAGCAATGCGCATTAAGTACCCATGGACTAGTATGATTGTATCTAATCTTGTCTTTGTCTTTCCCAGCCATCAATAGCAGTTGTTCTTGGCTTCATAGGATTCAAGATGATCCTTGATTTCTTTGGTATATTTATTATCGCTTCATTCCGCATTTCTGCTTAAACAAAACCGTACAACTACCACAAAAACTAAGCTATCTCGACATTTTTTCCTCCTTGCAGGGTTCCACGTATCAACTGAGGCATCACTTGGTGTCGTGGCACTTTCTCTCGGCACAGGAGTAGTGTTGAGCCTAACAAACAAATCCAGCGACAGCTAACTAAGAACTGAGAACTGAGAACTGAGAACTGAGAACTGAGAACTGATTCCAGAGGAAATCAATAAAACAGTTTCAGTTCATGGAAGCATTTCGCTGATGTGTTTACTGTATATAAAACACAGAGAAAGGGCATGCTTTGCAAGATGTAATTTACTTTTTGTTTGCTCATTCAAGGAGTACAAGATTATCCCTTTTTGGATTAGTCTTTCCATTTCTCTAAAAATACAACTCTTCTCTAGGCATTAAAAGATCAAACAAAACACACTTTGAATGTTCAGATACTCTCTGAAGTTGCTGTTTGGATTATTGCATCAGTATGTTGAAACCGAGATCTCCCAAAGATCAAATTATGGTGCCACGAAATGTCAATTGCAGCTACTACTCATGATGGAAGGGTGAGGAAGACAACACTCTTTAGCCTAAATATTGAGTAAAAGGTGACCAGTTGGATGCAGGAAACCAACTAACCCAGACACATGAATCAAGCATGAGTAGACTTTGCCAGAGAAAGACAGGATGGACATGACCAGATCAATTGACTGTAACCCTTCAACCTCACAGACCGATATCATTTCAGAACATGGCAATGATCCGAATCTACCAAAGTTTACATCTTGAATCAAATTTCTGATACCTGAACTACTACTATCATGGTTTGTATCTTTCTTCGTCATGATGTTTGGTAAAATCAAGGCAGATAGATAGAAAGTGACAGTTTGATAATAGCAATACACAAACGAAAGTCAAGAGATACACACAATACCAGTTCAAACACATGGGACTGGATTCACATTCACTTATTAAAGAAGTTAACTTGGTTAAACCGGAACTCTTATCACGTGGTCTGAGAGCACACAAGGACCTCACTCAAGCCTGGAAAGCAAAGCAAAGCAAGGAAACAAGACAGCAATAAGCCCAGCTATCGGTTTAAACATCATGAAGGTGGTTGAAACTCTCCAACTGCTTGAGATTCTCCCATGCTTTCTCCAAAACCTTGGCCTCGTAGACCTTCTTGGTCTCACCATCAGCCACCTCCACAGTGAGATGGTGCATTGTTCCTGCAACAACCTGTGTTTTTGCACCAAGGAGCCTCTTGTACTCCAGACTCACGTTCTGTAGACAAAAGAGAGATCACTAAATAAGAAAAAAACAAGCAAATCGTTTGCAATCATCACGTTCTCTTATACTGTTTCTCAGGCAGTGATTGTGTTTAAGGTTAGTGAATTAAGAAGAAGACCACAACAAGCAAATCGATTTTCTGGAAACAAAACTTTCAAATCAATCTACGCGAGGGAACATAAATTCTCAAAACAAAAAAATAACAATTCCTGATGCGATTTCAATAAGAATGACCGATAGATCGAACGAGAAACTCATTGATTTGCTATTAAGATGAATCTGGATCATCAACCAAACAGATTTGAGGATAATGAAGGCAGCGAAAGATGATGGGAGAATCAATCGTACCTCGTTCTTGTTATGCTCATCGACAGCGAAACGAGCGAGACTCTCGACTTGAAGATCATTAGCATTTGCATCAATATCGCGAACTCCTCCGACGATTGTTCCTCCTTGTTGATCCGCCATTTTCGATTCTTACTTTTTTGATTTATCTCAAAAAGATTTGATTCGTAGCTAAGTCTAACCCATTCTCCGTGTTAAGTGTTATATATAGAGATTAAACCGCGTTTTTTCTTTCCTTGAAGAATATTTCTTTTGGAACAAAATAATATTATGACTCATTAATTGTAGCACTAACTAGAGAATCTTTTTTTACATCTTCTTTTTTGATAAACTAAATTCTTATGTCGGCCAAAAAAAAAAAATTTAATTTAAGATTTTAGAAACAAATCAGAGGAAATACACAACTTTTTACAAACTCACATAAATCACACTAACAAAGAAGCAAATATATTGGACAAAAGCAAACAATTTCGTCTGTGCAAGAGCAAACAATTTCTTATCAATCTCGTGGTAAATATATTGTTGGTTTGATCTTCAACCGGTTTTACAAGCATGAAGAGTCTGCACAGACGAGACTTTTTTACATTTTTCTAAAATTTTTGGACAAAAGCTCCACACAGAGCCTAATTCCACGGTGGAGAAGAGGATCGGTGTAGAGAAGAAGAAGAGGAACCATAGTTGAGGTCAAGATTCTGAATCTGTTCCATAAGTTGTGACCGTCGTTCCTTGAAGAAATCTAGACGAGTGGTTAGCTCCATGAGAGCTGCAGATGCTGCAGGAGGATGATGATGTCTTCCGTAGTCCATTACCTACAAGACCGTTTAATTGCACTTCCATAATTGCATTTTGAATATCGTGAGATTGATGTTAACATGACAACACTAACCGGAGAAAACTCTTCCATTGGGATGCCTAAGGATGCTGCATTCAAGCTTGGTGAGCCTGGTACTTGTCTGTTGTTTCCTCTACCGTTCCTCCAGTCTGCTCTTAGGCTAGTTTCATCCTATATGATTCAATAGAAAAGAATGTTACTGAAAAATAGTAGTACATATGAGTTAGGAAATGGGGTCAAAGGTTTATGAGAATCCTCGGTTACATAATAAGATTTTGTACCGTTCTTTGATTTCTTTCGTGATTAACGAAAGCAAGAATGGAATCAAAGTCCTGCTGAAAAGACTTCCTGCGAATTTGTAAAAATATAATATTATTTCTCTTAGCGAGTTTACTTTCGACTAATATTTGGTATGAACTATGCCTATGGAATGAGAGCTAAAACCAGGCACAGAGTGTAAACTCACAGTTGAGTATTGTGATTATGGAGAAATTGGTGATGGCTTTGTGCATCTGGGAGTGAACTTAAGTGATGCTGTCGCTGCTGATTTAGCTGATGATGTAATTCTGCGACTTTCTGCTTCAATCTTGCGACATCAGCTTCAGCAAGAGCAATCTCCTCAAGCTCTGCCCTTGTCTTCACATTTATTGTGATATTAGAACTAACGAGAGTAAAAGATATAACACAAGAATAAGAAAACAAAAAACTGATTTCTCAAGCTAAAGTGTATACTGACTTTAGAATCCGCAGCTTGTGAGCTAAATTGTCCACAAGAAATGCTTAGACCAACTTCAAGAGCAGATCGTAGGTCTCTCTCAGCTTGCAGTTGCTCTTGTAATCTGCCCACCTGACAATTCCATGGCAAGCTTGGTCAGCAAAATGGAAGTTTATTCCCCCTCAAAATTATACCCAAAAACAATGGAGGATAGAAACATAAAATCTCAAGAGAAGGTTTATACATCTTGTTCAAGTGCCAACCGTCGTTCGTGCAAAGCCTGCTTCCTTCTCTCCAAGCTAGCTTGTAGAGCCGCATTTCCTTTAGCCTGTAGTGGTCTAATCAATCAATACAACAACATTATGTTATCAGCATATAATACTTCTACTGCCAGAACAAGTACCTCCTTAGCGATTCGTTGCCGCAGCTCATCTTTCATGTGCTCGAGCCTCTGTATAAGAAGCCTACAAGCAGCAAACGCATTGCATCAGGATACATCAAGCTCAAAACAAAGAGAAAATTATTTTCTCAATTCAAAAGTGAAGTAGAATGTTGCTCCAGTAAAGAACTTTTTGACATATTTAACCATACATATCTCATATGGGCCTCGTCAATAGAATATATATTTACACTTTTTAACTTTGTAACACAAATAAAAAAGGTTTCATAGGAGTGTTATAGAACCACAATGTATGCATTCAGGATGAGTTATCTTACTCATCATTTCCTGAGGAATCAAATGATCCTTTAGCAGGTGTTTTCTTGCCCTGCACACAGTAAACAAAGAAAAGAATTGAGATATCACCTTAAACTCAATTTCCCTACAACTATTTACTTCAACATACATGCAACTAACTTGTACTAAGACAATTTATTCCAAATAGATGGGACTTCCAATAACATCTAATCTTCCTAAGACGCTGATGGTTAGTTTTCTCAAAGGATTATCAGTTATGCAAGTTGAAACAGCTCATCTAGCCTATAGCACCAATAAGCATGGCACTAAGAAAACTGAAAGGAAGTTCATATCATGACCTGACACCAATAGAGATCAGGAGAACTAATTTCGTCTAGTGGTGTATAAAAGAGTTCCAAGGACAGACAAAAATTATAATAAAAATCCCATAAATACTTAATATGCATAGCAAGTCAGCTGCAGAGACTATGACAACAGAATTACGACTTTTCATGCCAGACAATGGAAAACTTACGTTGCCTCTTCCCCAGGATGAAGATCGCTTCGAATTGACTGTTGATGAGCCAGTAGTTTTACTTGCAGGTTTCTCAGCTGATGTTGTGTATTTGAGGGCAGTGGGAGGAGTACTGGGAGTAACTGAGGGTATAGCCTCTCTCCCTGATTGATAACAGTTTTCAGTAGGTGAAACGCTAGAAACTTCTATATCTTTAATAGGCTCTTCCATATGTTTTTTCACTCTAGTGGGAAAGTCAGTACTCTCGACTGAACAATGGATATCTCTAGGAGACTCAGCATCTGAATCTTCAACACCAAAACCCTGAGAGAAAGCATATTCAAAGGAAAGAATAAATTAGGATGAATTTTTCTGGCAGCATCAGATACTACTAGTTTCGCAATGGAAACCTAAAGTTCACACACCAAACATAACTAAAATGTGATACCCATCTACCTAAAGACCACATTAGGGGTAACGAATGATAACAAGACAGTAGCCAATGGTTAACGGAATGCATACAAAAGGAAATGACTTCAAAGTCCAAACTTATCCCATACTTCAGAATACTGAATGTAGGTGTACTATGACCAAGATGTATGGGGCAGTGATGGCAAAGAACAAACCTTGTAGTCATACAGATCACTGCCAGCATAATCACTGCTCTCGCTTGGTTTTCTGCTCAGCAGAACATCATTATCATCATCTGTTTCCCCTTCTTCTATATTCAGAGTATGCAAGTCAGGATGTTTAACCTCTATGTCCTCTTCATCACTTGAGTTCTCAGGCCCACTGTCGCCAATATGAGAATCCGTAGAAGTGGAGCATCTTTCAAGACCTTTATCCTGCAAACAAATAGGTGAGCAAATAGCATTGTGTGGCACCAGATATAAATTAGCGGATCAAATGGAATCTTACATTGATCATATTCCCATAGTCCTCCAAAAGGGCTGTGACAATGGCTTGAGCATTATTGGCAGCATTAGCGGCAGCAAGAAGCTGGGCAGAGTTATCTCCTAGAGAGTCAAAACCTTCTAGATCACATTCTCCAGCCAATAGAGGGCGTAATAGCAATGGGGACATGCATGCAGCTACAGCAGATGAAGTCATGCGATTCTCACTGGAATGAGAGGTGACAGTATGCATCATCTTTAGAATCCTGCAGAATACAACCCAGGATGAGAATAAAGCTGTTTGAATTAACCTAAATAACAGACTTCCAAGCAGCTTTCCATGAAAGCACCACATATTTCCCATGACATGCAGCTGAGGACTAAATTACCCTCATAAGTGCAATGCCTAAATAGAATGCCTAAGCATTTTTACGATCATTTCAAATACTATATCTGAGAGCATACCGTAGTAGAAGTCGCCTGTTTGGTTCTGGAAATGTTTCAATTATAGCAGAGCGCAGTGAGTTAACCCGAGCTTCGTTGTGATCAATTTCTATAGAAAAAAGGTAAAACGTAGATTATATATATGCAAATACACCAAAGTATAAACACATACATATATACAAAGACTTACTATAAGCTTCCAGCAAAGCAGTGCAGCACGACGCTGGAACTGGAGAAGAAGGCAACTGCCGCAGAACATGCTGCAGATACAATAGCATGACACAAATATGTCAACACAATAATGAAAACTGGAAATCATAGTTGATACACAATATAATAGTACCTTGACACAGTCTCCAACAACATGTGGATCCTCTTCAGGACTGAATTCTGTCTTGCCTAGATAAGTACATTTGGAAATTTTACGACATCGGAAAAGCAATACAGAAAATGAGCTTATACCCTAAGCCCTCCAGATATATATACCATTTCAAAGTTTATAACCAAAAGAAAGGGTCCACATGTGGAAGATCAATACCTTGTTCGTATTCTTGAACTCTGCGTTCTACCTCCTCAACATCTGCAGACTGTCTTAAGATTCCTTCTACCTTGGTTCCTGTGTCGACAACGAGGTGCACAATCAAAACGAAAACATTTATATGGGAAATTAGAAACAAAAACCACTTCTATAATAGCCTATATGATGAGTTATAAAAGGAATTGAAAAATATATACGGCACGGAATATAATATAAAAAAATCAACTTTCCAGACGACAAACAGACAATAATGATATCAGATGGTGAACATATAATGGGATGAAACTAATTAAACTAGGAGGCCAATACTCACCATATGTCTCGAGAAATTGAAGTGCTTTCTCAAGAAAAGATGGACTTCCATCAATTTCTTCTAAAGCTAGCAAGATTGGTCTTCCAACAACTGAAGACTTCAACGGGCGCTGATCCCTCCCTGCATGCAGGGTGTGATTGATATAGATCAGAAATATGAAAGGAGCCACAGAAGATGAGCTGATAATAATAAAATAAATGAGAACTCACATGAATTGAAGGATGCTTCAATAGTATTGTTTGCTTCTGTTCGGAATATTCCATTTTGACCAATTACAAGTGCTGCATTGGGAGCTTGTGCAAGGGCTTGCTCAAGGGCAGCCTTCCATTCATACAAGTCGTCCAATGTCTCAGCCTATGTGAGCCAAATAATTAGCATTTCATAGAAGCATAACCCATAAATCATAGCACATAACCAAAAAAGGGGAAGAAAAAATAAGTCAGCCAAGAAAATACATAAATCACCTTGAGGGTGAAGGCTCGTCCATCACGCCCATCTGGGAATAGTACAGTCAACAACTTCTTATCTTCTCTCACCACGACACTGCAAACAAGGATGTTAACACAGGCTAGGAAGTAGGAGCTACTCTTATAAACAACAACCACATGAAATTTCTACCTCCCCGAACTGTTCAAGTCAATGCCTCCAAGAGTCAAATTTACTTCACCTCCCTTTTGTGGTAATGCACTCTGTCAAAGAGTTGAAGCAATGAGCTTAAGATATAAAATAATTCTAGAAAGTTTGGAGTTGATAATGTAAATAAAGATCCTCCTAAGCTTCTAGCAAATTGATACAAGATTTCTTTTCATCAAATATTCTAAGTTCCAAAAGCTCAACAGTAAGAGTATGATATGAACTGGAGAAAAATCACATCAAAGGATCACAAACACTTACTGGATCATTTTTGAAAAACACCAAAGAAGTACGGGTAAGGATAAACCAACGCTTCTTCCAAGATGTCCAACCTAGTCCTGCCAATCAAAATGCCATAAAAATTTAGTAAAGAACAAGATGGTTGTATCCAAGAAATCAAACTGATACACAATGGGTAGAGGGTCAGAGTAGATAAATCTTGAAAGAATGGGAAAATATAAAAGTTCACCTTTAGATGAAATGAAGAGAGGACCACTCTTATAAACCTGTGGAAATATTATGGAATACAATGAAAAATTATAATCAGTTTGCTTTACTTTGGAATTGTTATACAAATAAAAACACTACAACTACAGATAAAAGAACGAACTTCTCTTAAAGACTCTTCCATAACAGCCAAACAAGTGAAGCTAGACGAATTGTTTAGCTTCCGGTTTCCTAAACTAGTATAATACGACTAACTACTATCTAACGAGGACACAATATTTCATTCACGGTTGACGTGTTTCTGACTTTATAGAAGTAATGAATTTGAACCCAAAATCCCCCAAAAATGCATAATATTCACTGGCACCAACTCGGTCTCGACCCAATACACTCGTTATAGCAAAATTTAATCTTTAAACAAAAATTCGTACTTAAACAGTGTCACATATGCTTTGAATACGAAACAAACACACTAATCTTATTTATCTCATCAGTATTCCACTTTTCCACAGAGCAAACATGAACCAAACTAGAGACTGTAATTTACCGTATTCAAAGCTCCAGCTTGAGGTCGCTGCATAGCAGCTAAAGAAGCCTCCATTGCAGAAGTACACACTTAATCAAACTGACGCATCCAAAAAAGATCATAAATAAACGGAAACCTTAAATTGCTATCTCTCAAAAGCTTCCCAGGCGAATCAAATGATGCACATTAGCCCGAATCGATAACTTGATCAACTCCCATTTCCAAGCCAAAGCCTTTCCCTTACTTTCCAGCGAATTCACTACAAGAGTCTGACCTACTGCAGCTACAAGAGAAGATGAGTGAAGGAGGGGATAGAGGGAAGAAGGAAGTGAAAGATCAGGCACATCAAGGTGTAGTCTAATTCAATGCATCGGGCCAATCCAAAGCTGCCACGACAAAGACATGTCTTTTCCTTTCTTTGTCACACTTTCACATAACTTTCTTATCGAGCGGTGGTAATTTCGGGTCCGTGTTGGTTTGGTTTGGATTTAAGGTAATTCGGTCTGGTATAATTTCGATTTTGGATTGAAATCGTATTTGAAAAGGATAAAAAAGGAGAAATAAGTTTTGGTTCAATTCGGTTCAAATTGACCTTTCGGTTGTATAAACAATATTACCACTGTATGTCTGTATCTTTAGGTTAAACATTTTGTAATACCTTTCATTTCATTTTATATGATATTTACAAGTTAGCAAAAAAAAAAACAATAACCAATTTTGCCGATCACTAGCTCTTGTCCTCATTGGGGATTTTGTTCTGTTAAATGTGCGTATGTTGGTGTGGTTTGTTGTTAGAGCCGGTTTCTCTGGCTTTCGCGAGTCCGCTGATGACAACATTCTTCAGCTCATCTCCCAAGCCAAAGGTGTGGATCAGAAGATGGTGAATGACATTTGTCTGAGACTTGTTTTGCTTCAGCAGGTCTCCTTGTTAGTTTCGTCTAGGATGAAGTTTTAAGGCTATGTTTGATCAAAGGATTGAGGGCTGCCTTAGATCGCTGATACCTCTAGTAACTCCACGCATCTCCAGGACATGTCGCACTTGTTTTATCTGCTTTGGCGCCCAAGTTTATTCTCTCATTGTTGCACTAATGCCTAAACTTCTGTTAATTGCTTCAGATTAATGTTAGCTGAGTGAAAAGCGTCCAAAAAGGTTAAGGGTTATTTTGTGTTTGGTCTTTTGCGTTGGGTGGTGCTAGTATGGCGTATTGGGGATGTGAAGTTGCTTGACATGTGCTACTGACTTCAGAAGAACTTGGTAGAGTTGTCAGCCTCATTATGCTCGTGTGGTTCCGCATCAATTTACCTTGCTTGGACTGCCGTTGAAAGGATTACCTATTTGTTTATCGCCAAACTCTTTTCTACCTTGTACTCTCTTTCGCTTTTGTTTCCTATCTCGGTTCTAATTTAGGGATTCTTTAGATCTTGTTTCAATTCATCTTTTTTCCAGAACAACTTTGCTTATGGATTGAATTGATCGTATTATGCTTACATATTTTTATACTTTTTTAGCATGAAACCATGTAATAGATTATGTTTCATGTATAACCTTAGTTTTTATTGTGAAATGAATATTTTTGTTCTTATAAAAAAAAAAACGATAGCACAAATCATTAGAGAACTGCAATTTATGGTAATTTGTTTTTTTAAAATATAAAATCAAATTTATCTGAAATTTTGTGATAAGGGTTAAAATTGTCTTTTCGACGATAACAGTGTGCAATACTAAAAGAAACATTTGTCGTATTTAGCAAAACAAGTTGGGCAGCGTGTGTTAATAATAATGCAAATTGTTTTAAAAAAAAAAAAGAAAAGAGAGATAAAAAGGCAAAGTCCAAGTCAGCAACTCAGTTCCGTCTCTCTCTCCCCCTCAAAACCAGTCTCATTCGATCTCTAATCCACCATGGCAACGACTTCTCGTCAGTTTACCACCGGTTTAACCGCCTCGATCACCTTGGTCGAATCCCATTCCGCAAACCGACCTCAGTCCATCTCCCTCATCCGTCGAAACCACACCGATCCTCGTCGTCTACCGTCGATCCTTCCAAGTTCCAGGCGGTGGATTATTGAAGCGGTGTCACCAGCGAGATCCTGGGATGGATCTGATTACGGAGCTGAGGCGGAGATTAAGAAGCCAGGCGCTTCTGGTTACGCGATCGGCGATAACGAGATCGAAGGGAGCAGTAATGTCCATGTGATCGACGGAGAGCATGTTAAGACGGCGGAGATAGTGATTTGGGCGGCGGCTACGGCGGCGTTTGGCGTCGGAAACAGAGTGATGTATAAGCTCGCGCTAGTTCCACTCAAGGAGTATCCTTTCTTCCTAGCGCAACTCTCCACCTTCGGGTAAAGTACCACCATCTCTGACTCTGGCCTCTTCGTCTTCTGTTTTGCTTACTCTCAAAATGCCTTCAATTATTTTCTCTTAGTTTTCTGTTAGATCATGTATAATCTATCTCTTAATCTAACTATTGAAATCTACTTAAACTTTTACTAAAACCTACGTGTTTTCTTTCTAGTTTTTATCGTTAGAGACTTTAGTGGTATATATATATATATATATATATATATATATATATATATATATATATATATATGAATTTTGAGGTTAGGAAATGCGTTCGTAAGTCTAGATTATCTTCTTGGTTAACAGGTTTAGTAATTTACACACACAAAAAGATGGTATTCCACTTAGAAATAGATCGTCTGCAATTTTTTTTTTTTTTGTTTCTGCCAAATATGAGATGGTATTCTTTTGGCGCATTGGATTTAACTGAAATTAGAAAGTGATCGTCTTGAGATTTGAGAACTGATTATACTATTAGTAATTTTTTTCTTCTGAAAATGATAAATCTAAAAATTTGAGGAGTGATGTTATACATTTTGAAAATGCAAAGGGGCAGATACGAATAAAGAAGAAACTTGTTTAACGGGTCAGAGTTGGCTTGTAGTCTCTTTCGACTTGGATACTACTTCTACAATTGGGACATTATTGTAGGCGCATCTACATGCAATGCATTTACATAATTTAATTCACTTACTATTGGATTAATCATTGATCGAAGTTTATATTTATATATTCTTCACAAATCACTTTTATTTTAAAACCATTTGCAAAATGCTATTCTATTGACAAAAGATATATCATATAAAATAAAATTTAGCACAAACTATAGGCATTAACTCATTTTACAAAAAAAGAAATCCTTGAATATGGTAGAGGGGAAAAAAAAGAAAAAACACGACGATGTAATAAGTTGGTGGAACCACATTATCACAATAAAAAAGGTGGTGGAACCAAATTGAATAAAGTCCGTCCATATCATTATCCGCCCTTTAGGAGCCTCTAATTAGTAATATTCTTATGGGTCCACTGTGGCTTAGACTTGATAACATTTTCTTGAATAGGGCTAACTTTGTGAGGGTGGAATACCGAACCAAGCTGATTCAATACGATATAATTTACATGCATGTGAGCTGAAACTAAACCAAATTAAACCCAAGTGATTATGGTGTGTTTTTTCTCAAACCAAAGGGAATCCAAACCGGAATCCATTGTAAACCGAAATGTTCACACCTACCTATTCTTTTCGAGGTCCCTTTTCCATGTGTTTGCTGTCTGCTAGCCAAGTTTGATAACAATTCTTGAATCTTAACATGTCAACAATTTTTGTTTTTTTTTGGGCAATTAACAAAATGCTTAGCCTGAAGATGTTTGGTAAATATTTACCATAATTTTTAGAGTGGCTAGATAATTGATCTAGTTTTTTCACTATACAAGATGTTTGGTAAAATATTTACAGAATACATCAATAATTAACAGAAAAACATTCTTCTTTTTCTGTTTCCCTCATGTAGGTATGTAGCTGTATATTATACTATCTTGTATTTCCGATATCGTGCTGGAACTGTCACTGATGCAATGCTCTCGGTGCCAAAATCTCCATTTTTAATTGTTGGCATCTTAGAGGCTCTAGCTGCAGCTGCTGGAATGGCAGCCGCAGGTAACGTTTATCTTTGTGCAAATGTCTTAAATTGGCTAGCAAAAATGCCTTCATCTCTTACAAAACATCTTCTTTTGTTTTCATTTCTCTATTCAGCGAATCTTTCAGGGCCATCAACTACAGTTTTATCTCAGGTTAGAAGCTGTATAAGTAAATATATGCTTCAGTCTGTGCAACTTCTTGGTTTAAGTGTAAATAGCTGACAAATGTTTTTGCCTTCAAAAGTTAAAACCATGTTTTCATGATATTCTTGCTAATAACATTCTTTGTAATTGTTTTCTTGTAGACATTTCTTGTCTGGCAAATTTTCTTCTCCATTATTTTTCTCGGGAGGAGATATAGCGTAAAACAAATACTCGGATGCACTCTTGTAGCTCTCGGTGTAATCGTCAGTGTTGCAAGGTTAGATCTGCTTTTGTGCTTCTCTTTTGATATTTTCACAAAGGACACAAGAGGAATCACCATTATTGTTTTTTTTGCATCTGTAGTGGATCAGGTGCTGCTCATTCATTGAAGGAAGCCGGAGTATTATGGATTCTTCTTATGGTACTCTCTTTCTTGCTTCAAGGAGCAGGTACAGTATTGAAGGTCCGTTACTCACCTAGTTACTACCTTTGAATTTTGGTGAAATTATTCTCTTTAATCTCAAATTTCTTTTTCGTATAGGAAGTCATCTTTATAGATAGCCAAAAACGATTAAAGGTACATTACAGATTCCCTAATCCCCAACACCACTTTAATAGAAGTTTTTGTTTGTTTGTTTAAAATACTGAAAAATCATCTGATCTTTTACTATCACAGGGTGCTTCACTCGATCTATTTATAGTAAATTCTTATGGTTCAGCTTTCCAAGTAAGTATCTTTTACCCTAAAATATTCCCCTGTTCTCTCTAAGCTCTGACTTGCATTCCAAGTTAAGTAATCATGTCTCTTTGGTGGTTCTTTTTCCTTGCCAATTAGGCCATCTGCATTGCGTTGCTTCTTCCATTTCTTTCAAAACTTTGGGGCATACCGTTTAATCAACTCGGTACCTACCTAAAAGATGGCGCAGTTTGCTTTCTCAACCACGGGACAATAACAAAAGGATGTGATGGGGCACCGTTTTTGCCTATATTGTTTGTGATAATGAACATTGGCTATAACATTGCTCTTTTAAGACTCCTCAAGATTTCATCGGCCGTGGTTTCGTGTCTTGCATCAACAGTTTCAGTGCCAATTGCAGTGTTTCTGTTCACAATGCCATTACCGTACCTTGGAGTTGCATCATCACTACCAAAAGGGTTCATGGGAGGAACAATCATACTTGTATTGGGAATGATTCTTTATAGTTGGACACCACAAGGAGCTAACACTTCTCATACTAATATAGTAATTCCTTCACCTCCTCCCACCTAGACAGGGCTTAACTAAGGGCTTTTGCTTTTATTAAAAGATTTGAGAGATTTATGCAAATTCGGTTTGTACGTATCAAGATAAAATAATATTTGATCATATGATGTTAATGGAAAAGTTGACATTTCTTGTGTGTTGCGTTCAGATTAGATTCCTAGTTCATTAGTCAACAGCTAACATAATCTTGCCCTCAAGAGTTGTTACCCTTTGAGCATTTCTCTACAATTCGTGTGCTAAACCATTTAAAAGACAAAAATCAAAACAAGAAAAAAGAAGTAAATAGCCTGCAACAAACAAAATTACTTCATCAAAGTTGTTAAATAGTAAAAGACTAAGCAAATCCTACAACAAACCACTGAGTTTTCCACTGAGTTCTCTTAAACCATTTGATTCTACTTGTGGCAAGTTCGAAGACACCACAATTCGAAGGAAGACTAATATTTAGCCAAAAAAGGTCATCTTCAACGAAACAGATTGAACCACTCTTGATTCCATCACCAACTTCTTGAACCGGTGCTCTTAGTGTAACCCCATGACCAAAGATCAACATCTCATCATCTCCAATAGAATCTACTCTTTCCCATTTGTTACTCTCAAAATTCATCTTAAAGATGTAAAACAAATGTGTCTCTTTTAATAGCTTTTCTAATAAACTCAAGATGATGAAAACCTCTCCTGTTTTCTGAATCACTATTCTCGTCTTCCAAACGTACTCCCACTGTTTTGAAACGTAATCAAACGGATGATCCCAATACGGGTTTTTCTCGACTTCTTCTTTGGGGCAATCTCCAGAGAAATCGACAATCTTGATGTGATCATCAGAAATATACAGATAAAGCTTGCTGTTCTTATAAGCCAAATCCAAGAAACCCAAATTTGCACCTCTTGTATACCAATTCCACCAATAATCATCTCCTTTCTTGTGTGTGAACAACTCAAGCTTATTGAAAATCCAAGCAACGAAATAATCTCCTGTTCTTTCGTTTATCCACAGAACAGCTGATCTTTCGCTTCCAAAGATGTCTTTAGACACTCGATCCTTACGATAAAAGTCAACGAAGTAACCCCACTCGTCACCGCTTCGTTTGAATCTCACGTGCCCACCGCGTATTGACGTCTCCATTGATGGAAGATTGATTCTTTCGCACGTTAACATGTTAACGATATAGAAATGGAGAAGAGAATCTACCATCAATAGGCAATTTCCGAAGCTAGCCATATAGTAGCTTTTGTCGGAGATTCCAACGAGTTTCGTGTTGTAAATCTTGTCCTCTCCGGGATCGAACAAACTCGAAGAATCATCATGGTATATGAATTGCCATGGATACAGAGGCCGCTTCACGCATGTTTTCCAAACGGAGTACCAATCTGAGCAAACTTTTTTTGCTCGGTGATAATCAATAGTGCTCAAGCTTTCGATTATCGGACGTAAAAGATCGGCACAATGATTGGACCAATCTTGATTTTCAGACATTTCGTCTCTTTTCTTCACTCATCAAATGTCTGCGCTTACCTGCCGATCACACTAATGGATCTAGGGTTTAGGGTTTTAGGGGTTACAATTTACAACCAACCCTGTACATTTTCCATTTAAACGTTTCTGCTTTTTCACTTTATTACTATCAAAGTTAGCATATTTTCTATATTATTTTACAAAATTATATCACAGAATTGTATATTTTCTTTAAATACATTAGATTTCTTAACCCCAGCCAAAAATTCCATGCATGATGAATTATAAAGTTTGTTTTAACATGTTTCAGACTGATGAATGAAAATTCTCCTAAATCTTAGTTTCTTTTGAAATTCATTTATAATCATATTTATAAAGAGCTTAGGCAAAAGTTCTAATCTTGGTAGTTGGCATATAGAAGATAAGAAGAGACAGTTATGTAAAATAAAAATCCCAGGAATTGCTCTCAACCTTTGTCTTAAATCCTTAAATGTTGTTTTACTTTAAATACTAAATTACAGACAATCTTTGGTCCTAAACTTTCTCCCTATCGACAAACCCTATAATCCTTTGAACCGAATACCAACGAAGAAAAAAAAAACATTCTATTCATAGCCATTCACAACCAAAACACCTACAATTTTCTTGCTAAAGAAGAAACAAAAACCAGAGGAAGAAAAAAAAAATAAGAGAAGAAAGACAAAATCTAAAACCTTTCTATTTCTCTTCCTCCTTTGAGCTTGTACCTCCTCCATCTCCCCACCCTTTTATGCAACAATGGGAAATTGTTGCTCTCACGGACGGGACTCAGCCGATAATGGAGATGGACACACACTAGAAAACGGAGCTACCGCTTCAAATGCTGCCAATTCCACTGGTCCAACCGCGGAAGCTTCGGTACCACAATCGAAACATGCGCCTCCTTCTCCTCCTCCGGCAACCAAACAAGGCCCTATAGGACCTGTCTTAGGTCGACCCATGGAAGATGTAAAATCTTCATATTCTTTAGGGAAAGAGCTCGGGCGAGGCCAATTCGGTGTCACACACCTCTGCACACAGAAGGCAACAGGTCATCAATTTGCTTGCAAGACCATTGCGAAAAGGAAGCTTGTGAACAAGGAAGACATTGAGGATGTAAGAAGAGAAGTGCAGATAATGCATCACCTGACTGGTCAGCCAAACATTGTGGAGCTTAAAGGAGCTTATGAGGATAAGCATTCCGTGCATTTGGTTATGGAGCTTTGCGCAGGTGGAGAGTTGTTCGATAGGATTATTGCTAAAGGACATTACTCGGAGAGAGCAGCTGCTTCGTTGCTAAGAACGATTGTTCAGATTGTGCATACTTGCCATTCCATGGGGGTGATTCACAGGGATTTGAAACCAGAGAACTTTCTCTTGCTCAACAAAGATGAGAATTCTCCTCTCAAAGCTACTGACTTTGGGTTGTCGGTTTTTTACAAGCCAGGTTTTTTACTGCCCGTTCCGCAATTTCAAACCAGCATCATTGTAAAGTCCTGCATAACAAATAAAACAGGTCATGGTTTATACTCATAGAAAATTTGTTTCCGCTGTGTTACAGGAGAGGTGTTCAAGGATATTGTGGGGAGTGCTTATTACATCGCACCAGAGGTTTTAAAAAGAAAGTATGGACCAGAGGCAGATATTTGGAGTATTGGTGTCATGTTGTATATCCTCTTATGTGGTGTCCCACCATTCTGGGCTGGTAAAGATCGATATTCCACAGTTTCTTCTTTCTATCTACCAAAAGAATAAACATATCTAGAAATTCATGTCTTGGTGTAATTACCTGATCACAGAGTCGGAGAACGGGATATTCAACGCCATCCTAAGGGGACATGTTGATTTCTCAAGTGATCCATGGCCATCTATCTCGCCTCAGGCGAAGGATCTTGTTAAGAAGATGCTCAACTCTGATCCCAAGCAAAGATTAACTGCTGCCCAAGTTCTCAGTAAGCATCTACAAATATACCAAAAAAGTCAAAAGCATAACAATATTTAATCTCTAATGTTGTTATCTTACTTTGTGAAGACCATCCATGGATCAAGGAGGATGGAGAGGCACCAGATGTTCCTCTTGACAATGCGGTGATGTCAAGGCTCAAGCAGTTCAAAGCAATGAACAATTTCAAGAAAGTTGCATTACGGGTAACAATCATATCCCTTACCCAATAGAATAAGACTCTCAGGAGAGTATCCTAACCTCGAAACCTGAAACCATTGGACAGGTGATAGCAGGCTGCTTATCAGAGGAAGAGATCATGGGGTTGAAGGAGATGTTTAAAGGTATGGACACTGATAGCAGTGGAACAATTACACTCGAGGAGTTAAGACAGGGACTTGCCAAGCAAGGTACAAGGTTGTCAGAATATGAAGTTCAGCAGCTAATGGAAGCTGTGAGTCCTTCTTGTACTTGCAAGATTTTTAGCTTTAGTCAAATGCCGAGCAACAGGGTAAGGGACTGGCCACTAATTTTCTGTTTTTTGCTCTGCGTATCATGGGATTATACAGGCTGATGCTGATGGTAATGGAACAATAGACTATGGTGAGTTTATCGCAGCAACAATGCACATCAACAGACTTGACAGAGAAGAACATCTTTACTCAGCCTTCCAACACTTTGACAAAGACAACAGTGGGTAAGTACTTAACAGTTTATTATATAACTGATTCCAGACTTTAATCATGAATATGAAGCTTCTTATGAAACATAAATTCAACTCAAATAATGCTTTCTGTTCCTAGATATATCACAATGGAAGAGCTGGAGCAAGCCCTCCGGGAGTTTGGCATGAATGATGGCAGAGACATTAAGGAGATCATTTCCGAGGTTGATGGAGACAATGTAAGAAAGAGCAGTCCCTTCAAATGTAACAAGCAGCTAACAATCTTACTATCACCAACCTATTTTCTAATGATAAAAAACGGGTTTTGCAGGATGGTCGGATAAACTATGATGAATTTGTGGCAATGATGAGAAAAGGAAACCCGGATCCAATCCCAAAAAAGCGGCGTGAACTTTCATTCAAATGAACAAATTGTTGAAGTAGAGGAAGAGAGGAGATAGAAAGAGAGTTACACACAGGGGTCGAGAAACTCATCTTCCTTTTCACAATGAGAGATAAGGCAAAGCAAATATCAAAAAAGTATATGCTCGGGTCGCTAATGATTGAACTGGAGGAGATCTTTAAGGGAGGAGAAGGATCAAGAAGAAATCATTAACTAGGGATTTGGGGGAGGTGTTTGAATTATGTATATTTTCTTTTCTGGTTTGTCTACTACTGCTTAAAGTGCCATGATGGGTTTCTCAATGTACTTAAAATTCTTCTTTTTCAATTCTCTTGTATGTGTTAGTGATGATTATTCCTTCTTACTTACTTCCTAGCAACACACTCAACACCAGTTTCCAAAAATTGCATCAAAAATTGTCACAAAAGATGTATTTCTCATTGCTTGGTCGATGTAAATGACAAAAGAGCAAACCATACATAACCAAATTCATACAGATAAAGAAAGTTTCACATCTCCCCCAATTTTAAAACCCTAATTTGCAGCAGTAACAGTCGAATTCGAGGACAATTATTACTTATCTTTGGTAGAGACTCCATACTTCTCCTGCAACTTGGTAATCTCATCTTCACTCTTCTTCTGGTCAAACTTCTTGCTCATCTTCGCGTGCTGGTAGTATAACACGATTAGGTACCGATTCGCGACGTTGAAGCCAGAGAGATGGTCGACGGCGTTCTTGGCGTCGTAGATATCCTCGTAAACGACGAAGGCTGTACCTTTCGTCGCCTTGTCGCAACCGATTCGAATCTGGCGAATTGCGCCGTACTTGCCGAAGATATCGTACATCTCCTCGCTCGTTATGTTAAAGGGAAGGTTACGAACGTAGAGCACGCGATTCACTTCCGGTGGGAGTCTGGTGTTACTCTTGCGAAGACTGATTGTTGTCATAGCTTCTCTTCTTCTTCTTCTCCTTCCTTAAGCCGGAGATTTGTTATCGCCGCCGTGAAAAAAAAGTATCTTCTATCGGAAATGAAAATTATATTCTGATTTCGACAGATGCGAGTATTCATAGGGTGGAAGAATTATAGGGTAAAACCGTCTTTTCACATGCAGGCTTTGGGATTTCTATTGACGGTTTTATGTAAACCATTAAAACCAAAAATAATTTACCAAACCGATACCAATCGGTTTTATTGACGGTTTGATGGCAGAATTTTGTGCTATTCAAGTAATAGAGCTTAAACATGAGTGTGGCACAAGTAATAGAGCTCACCTCGTATTGAATAGAGAATATATGAATAAAACTAGAAATGTTTTATTTACTATATGAAAGATGAAGAAATCTCTCCTACTTCTATAACATGTCAAGATCTAAGAAGTGTCACTGTGTTTTTGGTCATTTTAATTACAAAATTAACAAGCCTCTTGGACTCTCTTCCTATCTTTAGGGTTTCTATTCCGAAATCTAGCCATCGTTCATGGTTCCTATAACTTGCTAAACATAACCCAAATGTTAGAAGAGAAATCTTGATAGAGAAAAAAAAAAGTTTAAAATTTGGGAGATGATACGAAGAATTTAGAAAATATAAGGTTTTGATTTTTAGATTTCAACTTGGTTACAAATGAAAGGAAAATAAGGTGTTTATAGCTTCCAAAACTAAAACTATCCAACATATTTTACTCCTAAATCAAGATTATTTCATAATTAAAACATAAAATAAGGGTATTTTTTGTACGCAAATTGTTTTTTCTTTTCTTTTTTGGTTAGAAATGATTTGTGACATTTGTATTTGCCATTTGCATTTTTCACAATTAGCTGACCATTTATTTATTCAATGAGGTATAATTGCTTCTAAGAAATTAAAGTATCAAATTTTTTTTTCTTATTCAATCATTTGCCTAATTTTACTGGTTTTATTTATTACAGATGAATAGAGATTTGCAACCGTTGCAGTGAGTGGCGGTTGTTCTTTATAGGAATCCCAAGGGGAATATTTACACAAATAGTCAATAGACAACCACGTATCTTCGCAGGATTCAGATTAGCGTGTTTATTTAAAGGCGAATAGGAAAGAGTTTGCAGACGCCGTTAGACAACTTCTCAAGTGGGTGAACCAGGTATATCAACACAAAATCCATGATGCTTCGCTTTCGAGAGATGGCAGCTATCACGAGAGGTGTCAATAGAAATGATGAAGCCTATAGTTGACATGGAGGTGCAAGATTGGAGGAAAATGAATCTAGGCGAGTGATACTCATACTAGATGTATGTTATTTGACTTAAGTCTATCTGTTTATGGATTGCTAGTACCACCTCTTTTCTTTTAATATTATGTGATACTCATTTCATGTTTAAACTCTTTTAGTTTATTTAAATCAGAAAAAACTTTTACAAATCAATGGAGATTATGGGAGATGTGTACATTTTCTATTACGTTTGTTTGTCTCCTACTGCTTAAAGTGCCATGGGTAAAGTGTCATGGGTTTCTCAATGTACTTAAATTCCTTTTTAATTATCTTGTATGTGTTAGTGATTTTTTGTTCTTACTCACTTCCTAGCAAAACAGTTGACACCAATCCAGAAAGATACAAAGCTTAAACAATGGCAAAAGCAGTGTGAATCAAAACCAATTCGACCACCAAATCAAATTATATTTATATAGAAAATTCAGAAATACGAGTATATAAAAAGTCATTGCACGAATTCTCTTTAAATCATATAAGAGTAAGATTTAATTTAGAAAATTTTAAGAAAAATGTAAATATATATATATATATATATATATATTTAAAAATAATCAAGTTATTTTAATAAGATCTAGACGATCTATTTCAAATTTTCAAGTAAACAGAGTAGTGTATTTTTTGTTGTTGTTGTTGTTGTTGAAATAGATTAGTCTAACCAAAGTAGATAATTTCATTAGTTTTATCCAAGAATTTGAGATATTTCGGATATAGAGTATACAAATAGGGCTTGACAGGAGTGTGATTCCCTTGTTTACTTATGACCAAAGATGTTTATAAAGTGTTTTTGGATGCGTATATAACTGCGAGCCTTTATGATTAGTTTGGTAAATTAACTATATCGATTGGAGAAAACATGAATATGCATGTTTTTCCCGAATTAAAAAGTCATGAGGCAGTTAATGTTTGAAAGATACAATATCAAATTATTGATCGAAACATGTAAAAACTAAAAACTAAATGATTTTTACCAGTATCATCATTTTGTTATAATTGATATTTGAATTTCGTAATGTGTGTGAGATATAAACGACTAAAAATAGTATCGAATTAGTACTAACTCCTAAATGATAAATAAAAAAGTTTGGCTAATATCTTAACTCTAAAATATTACAAAACCATTCATGCGTCATCGTGAACAATTTTTTTTTTTTCATGTGCAAAGCGTCATCGTGAACATATATATATGTTTGTTTGAGCAAATTTAAATGCCTGGGACCAAGAAACATGAAACAATGCTAAGTAGTAATTATGTCGGTCAAATAAATAAGTATTGTAGGCCGCAGACATTATAAGCCCAATTAGTATAAAAGCCCATCTGAAAACAGGAAACACGAGTTTCGTTGATAATGCCAATCCTGGGGTTTCCCTCCAGTTGATACGACGATCTTTTTCCTTTCCTCTGTATTGTTGATTCTCAAGTGTTAGCTCTAGAAGAAGTCGTTCGCTCTCCGCTTCTTCTCGACGTCACGGCGAAACCCGGCAGAGGTACGGTGTTTCTTATCTCTCTCCGAAACCCCTAAGTCTTCAGTCATTCGATTCCTCTTCTTCTTTTTTTCCTATCAATTTCGTTCTCTTCATGGTTTTTCCTAATCTATCCCTGCGTTGATCATCTTATTTTCAGTAGATTTTTTTAGTGTTTTGTTGGGGTGATTCTGTTGTTTGTAGAAAAAAAAATGTCGCAGAATGATGTAAAATTCTTGCAGCCACCTCCAGAAATCAGGAAAATTGTGAAAAAAACGGCACGTTTGGTTGCACAAAAGGGTTTGGAGTTTGAGGAGAGGATCATGTCCACTTATGTGAATCATGCAAATTTCAGCTTTTTGAGGAGCTCAGACCCTTTTCACTCCTTTTACCATGGGTTGTTCTTTTGATGGATTTTTTTCATATCCTCCTGGGCTCTCACTCAAGGAGCTTGGTATTATTAAGCTCACGGCTCAGTTTGTGGTGCGTTATGGTCCGGATTTTCTGTTGCCTTTCAAGAGGACAGTGGATAAGAACCCTCTGTTTGACTTTTTGAAGCCTACCGATACAAGGTTACTTTTTTATGTGGGGCTTGTTAAAGCGTATGCTCAAGTATTGAGGAGTACTTTTGATTGTGTGGAGACCGTTCTTCAGAAGTTCTTACACCATCTTCAATTGGAAAAGCTGGAGGAGGGAGTGGATGTTGCTTTGATTGATTTGCTTGCTTTTACGTCTGGTGTTGACTGTTTTACTTACATGGAGGATGATTACTTTCCTATTTCCATGCCACCACCTGATCCCCTTTCCCTCATTTTAAAGAGCCGTGGTATGCTTGTGCGTACCGATTACCATGGAGCCCCAGCTGCTCATGATTGTGTAGCTGCTGCTAAACCTTCTCTTGAGTTTTCTTTTCTGGGTCCGCCTCCAACACCACTTCCCCCTGCATGGATCACACTCAAGGAGCTTGGTTATATCAAACTCACTGCCATGTTTTCCGCGCGGTATGGGATGGATTTGTTGAAGGATGTGGTTTCGTCAATGTTTGAGTTTATAAATCCAACTCATAGCTGGTTCTATCTTTTCAATCTGCTTGTTGATGCGTATTCCAGAGTAATAAGAAGGCCATTGAGAGAGGAGCCAAAGACTTGTAGCGATTCCGTTGTTGAATGTTTCTCCGTCCATCTTCAAGTCGCCGATCTGTGGGACGGAGTGGAGAAGGGTATGATTGATCTGCATGCCTTTGTGGGTGGTGTTGACTGTTTTGCTCACATGGAGGATGAAGAGTATTCTGATAGGTTGCCACCACCTGTACACCTTTCAGTGTTGATGAATCAGCTCAAACAAATGCAGCCTCCACTGGGATCTCAGCTTACTGAATACCGTCCTCACAGTCAAGATGGACCTCAGGATATCCAGCCTGATGCTCCAGCTACACAACTTGATCTTGTTCCTCTAAGGGATCCACCTCTAGAACCTCGCAATCGTGCTTTTACATTACCTGCGGGGATCACACTCAAGGAGCTCGGTATTATTAAGTTCACAGCGCTGTTTGTGGCGCGGTATGGGAAGGCTTTCAGGCAGAGACTGGTTACGCACCCTCAGTTTGAGTTTTTGAAGCCAACTGATGGCAGGTTTTGTTTTTTTTTCGATAGGCTTGTTCACGCGTATTCCAGAGTACTAAGGCTTTCCAAAAAGATGAGGAAGATTGATTTTTGTCACGAGACCGTTCTTAACACTTTTTTCCACCGTCTTCAACTGGAGAAGCTTGATAAGGGAGTGGAGATGGCTATGATTGATTTGCATGCTTTTGTGGATGGTGTTGACTGTTTTGCTCGCATGGAGGATGAAGAGTATGCTGCTAACCTGCCACCTCCTGAACACCTTTCAATGTGGATGAAGCAACTAAAACACCTGCAGCCTCCACTGGGATCTCAGCCTCTAAGACCTCACGATACTGCATCTACAAATACTGCATTGATCTCACTCAAGGAGATTGGTATTTGTATGCTCGCTGCGCAGTTTGTAGCGCGGTATGGGATGGATTTGATGGAGATAGTTGTTGCAAACCCTCAGTTTGAGTTTATGGAGCCAACTAACTCAAGTTTCTATAGCTTCAATAAACTTGTTGATGCTTATTCCGGGATTTTAAAGCCTTCCAGAAAGCTGAAAAAGAGTGATGCTTTTGGGGCGACCGTTGTTGAATGTTTTTTCAACCGTCTTCAATTAGACAAGCTGGAAGAGGGAGTGGAGATGGCTGTGATTGATTTGCATGCTTTTGTGGGTGGTGTTGACTATTTTACTGTCACATGTGGTGGTGAGAATCCTGCCGCCA